TTACCTATTTACAATTCTGTGGGACTGCAACTATATATACCACCCTATCAAGTTCGGATGACATTTACTTAGACTATAGATGCCATTGCCCACGTGTTGCCTTCATCATAATTGTGAAGGAATATATGTATACCACTGCCTCAGTTGTGTCAATTTAACACGCATACAGGACGCACCCACTTCAAAAAGCGAACTATATGTTGAATTTTAGTAGGCAGATTTTAATTTCTGTGATATTGAAATACGTTAATAATGGTGTATCTGACATTTGAAGTATAAATGAAGAGCACATCTTTGCAAGCAAACAGAACATTATCCGTAGCGCGAGTTATGATGTTATCTCTGGCCACCTATCCCTTCAATGTACTGTGGTTTCCTCATGTCAACTGTCCCTTCAATGTACTGTGGTTTCCTCATGTCACCTGTCACTTCAATGCACTGTGGATACCTCATGTCACCTCTCCCCTCTATGTACCCTCTATGTACTGTGGCTACTTCGTGTCACCCGTTCCCTCTATGTACTATATATATGGCTACTTCGTGTCACCTCTCCCCTCTATGTACTATGGCTACTTCGTGTCACCCGTTCCCTCTATGTACTGTGTCTACTTCGTGTCACCCGTTCCCTCTATGTACTGTGGCTACTTCGTGTCACCCGTTCCCTCTATGTACTATGGCTACTTCGTGTCACCTCTCCCCACTATGTTCTATGGCTACCTCAGGTTACCTCTCCCTTGTTTATAATGTGACTACATCAGATCCCCTCTCCTTCAATGCACTGTGGCTAACTCATGTCACCTCTCCCCTCCATGCACTGTGGATGCCTCATGTCACCTCTCCCCTCTATGTACTATGGCTACTTCGTGTCACATCTCCAAACTATGTACTGTGACTACCCAAGGTCACAACTCCCCTTTGTGTACTGTGGCTACCTCAGGTCACATCTCCCCTCTATGTACTATGGCATCCTCAGGTCATCTCTCCCCGCTATGTACTGTGACTACCTTAGGTCACCCCCCCCCCCCCCCCCCCCCCCCCCCCCCCCCTTTGTGTACTGTGGCTACCTCAGTTTACCTCTCCCATCTATATACTGTGACTACCTCTGTTAACGTTTCCCTCTAGGTACTGTGGCTTACTCAGGTCACCTCTCCCCTCTATGTTCTGTGGCTACCTCTGGTTATAATTACCTCTCCCCTCTATGTACTGTGACTACCTAGGTCACCTCTCCCATCTATGTACTGTGGCTACCTCAGGTAACTTCTCCCCCGAAGGTCACCTCTTCCCTCTTTGTACTGTGGCTACCTCAGGTCACATCTCCCCTCTATGAACTATGGCATCCTCAGGTCATCTCTTCCCGCNCCCCCCCCCCCCCCCCCCCCCCCCTTTGTATACTGCGGGTACCTCAGTTTACCTCTCCCATCTATATACTTTGACTACCTCTGTTCACGTTTCCCCTCTAGGTACTGTGGCTAACTCAGGTCACCTCTCCCCTCTATGTTCTGTGGCTACCTATGGTTATAATTTCCTCTCCCCTCTATGTTCTGTGGCTACCTCTGGTTATAATTTCCTCTCCCCTCTATGTACTGTGACTACCCCAGGTCACCTCTTTCCCTCTATGTACTGTGACTACCCCAGGTCACCTCTCCCCTGTGTGTATAGTGGCTATCTCAGGTCACTCTCCCCTCTATGTACATGTACTGTGACTACCTCAGGTCATTTCTCCCCTCTATTTACTGTGACTACATCAGGTCACCTCTCCCCTCTATGTACTGTGACTACCCCAGGTCACCTCTCCCCTATGTGTATAGTGGCTATCTCAGGTCACCTCTCCCCTCTATGTACATGTACTGTGACTACCTCAGGTCATTTCTCCCCTCTATTTACTGTGACTACATCAGGTCACCTCTCCTTTCTATGTACTGTTACTACACTAGGTCACCTCTCCCCTCTGTGTATAGTGGCTATCTCAGGTCACATCTCCCCTCTAGGAGAAGTTAGTTTTGAAAAATATATTTCGGGTCTTTTGTCTACATTTCGGTTACTTAACCAACTACTAATAAACTATTGACCACAAATACGTCAGAGACCATCATTACAGTTTAAGTTCTAAACGCCACCCTCTTTAAATGTCCAACTTCTATATGACGTCATACGATCCCATAAATGCCCTCAAAATAACGTCATAACCCTTACTGGCATTGCGAAAACATACCCTATCGAATCTAATCGGGAATTAATCCAGTAATTAGTTCCTTTTGTGAGACCAGGGCAAGTTCGGCCCCCGTGATAAGTGAGCCCCCTGATATTTTCGGTGTTGAGCAAATATTCACAATTATAAGGATCTTAGCAGTTCACGTGACTTGGCAGAACATTCACATGACAAACAAAATGTGGAAAACAGAGACATTGTACAGTGTACAAAGTCAGTAGTTATAGACGTCTCTGGGAAAACTCATTATAAAAAATAGGCCTACTAAAAAGTTACTAGGTTTCACTTATAGCTTTTGTGAAACGAAATTGTTCCTTAGATCTATTTAGGGAAATCCGACGTTTTTATGATTAATATATATTTTTTCTTTTCACTTTGGGGGTTAAACAGAAAAAATCTAAACTCAAGGGGTAAGCTTCTTAATAGCTCGAGGCTTTGCTGATGGCCAGGCATCAGTTTAATAATCTTACCCATAGGGTTGAGATTTTATTGTCTTGAATACTTCTTCACATTCCGTATGTAGAATATGGAGGGAATCATTTTAGGAAAGATATAGAATTATTAGGGTCCCGCATCTTCGATGCGGGTGCCCTATAGTAATGAGGTTGTCCGTCTGTCCGTCTGTCTGTCCGTTTAGTTTCTTTTGCACAATATTGATGGATGTTAATGGAGTATGTTTTTAAAGTTTTACATGATGATGTCCCATGCATTCTAGTTCTGCTTGGTAATTTTTCGGGCAGAGTGGATTCAAAATGGCTGCTAATCAGCCATCTTGGATTTTAACTCTTAACTGGTAAACATTTTGTTATGACCTTATGAAAAAAGTTGGTCACAATAAAACAAGAAGTCAACTGATCGAAGGTCAAGGTTATCGGATAAAAGATCAAGGTCAGATTTTCTATCTTTTAACTGCTTAACATTTTGTTTTGACATTATGAAGCAAAGTTGGTCACAATCAAACAAGGTATCAACTGACCAAAGCCGAGGATTATTGGGTGAAATGTCAAGGTCAAATTGTACATCCCTCAACTGGTTAACATTTTGTTATGACATAATGAAGCAAAGTTGGTTAGAATCAAACAAGGTGTCAAGTGACCAAATCTGTAGTTCATTCAGTCTAAATATAAAATATTTAAAACATATTAATTTGCAAATTGTATGTTGATGGGAACATCAGATTTTAATTAGGGCCCCGTATCGAAGATACGGGTGCCATATAGTGATCACTCTGTCTGTCTGTCCGTCTGTCTCTCCGTCCGTCCACAAATTTTGTTCCTGGCTGACAACGTTGGTATGTATTGACCGATTTACATGAAACTTGGACAAGATGTTCAGCTCACAAAAATAAACACTGAGGTAAAAAGTCAAGGTCAAAGGTCAAGGTCATTAGGTTCAAAGGTCCTGGTCAAATTTGGCATCTTTTTACTGATGAACATTTTGTTATGGCATTAAGAAGCAAAGTAGATCAGAATTAAACAAGGAATCAACTGACCAAAGGTCAGTTCATCGGTTCAGAGGTAAAGGTTTCAAAGGTCAAGGTAAATTTTTTAGCTTTTCACTAACGAGCATTTTATGACATTATGAAGCAAAGTTGGTCGGATTTGAACATAGAGACACACTGAGGTAAAAAGTCGAGGTAAAAGGTCAAGGTCATTAGGTTCAAATGTCAAGGTCAAATTTTGCATCATTTTACTGATGAACATTTTGTTATGACATGATGAAGCATAGTTGATCAAAATTAAACAAGGACAAGGAGTCAACTGACCAAAGGTCAAGATCTTCGGTCAGATGTCAAGGTCACTGGGTCAAAGGTCAAGGTCAAACTTGGAAACTTTTCACTAATGAGCATTTTATGACATTATGAAGCAAAGTTGTTCGGAATTAAACAAAGAGTCAAAGATCAAGATCAATTGACTTAGGTCAAGGTCACTGGGTCAAAGGTCAAGGTCAAATTTAGTATCTTTTCACTGGTGAACATTTTCTTTATGACACTTTGAAGCATTGTTGGTCGGAATTAAACAAGAAGTCATTTGACCAAAGGTCAAGGTCACCGGGTCAAAGTTTTTTTGTTTTTTTTTATCTTTTCACTGATGAACATATTGTTATGACATTATGGAGCAAAATTGGTCGGAATTTAACAAGGAGTCAACTGACATAAGATCAAGGTCACTGGGTCAATGTCATGGTCAAATATTGTATCTTTTTACTGATGAATATTATTTTTATGTTATTATGAAACAAAGTTGTTCAGCACTTAACATGGAGTCAACTGACCTAAGGTCGAGGTTACGGGGTCCAAAGGTTCAAGGTCAAGTTTCGTATTTTTCACTGATGAACATTTTGTTATGATATTGTGAAGTAAATTTGAACGGAATTAAAGAATAAGTCAACTGACCAAAGAACAGGGTCACTGGGTTAAAGGTCAAGGTCATTTGGGGCCAAAGGTCAAAGACAAAGTGGATCTCTGACTTTGACCCTGTCAGTGTTCTAGTTTTTTTAATGTTTTATGCTGTTCAGAAGGCAGAACGATTTTAATACAATTGGGCCAAACTTGCCACGGTCTCCCAAAATTTACCAAATTATCTAAATATTTCGAAACTGCCGGATATGATCCTTTGCGTGATAAATCAAACAAAAACATGGCTGAAATAGGTCGTGTCTTGCTTTCCTCTGTTAAACTTACAATTTTCCTTTCAAATAATACTACTAAATACGACTAAGCGATCCGGGATAAATTTAGTAGTGTGCTGCCTATATGAAAGTGACGATGCAAATAATGAGTTATCTCTCCCTGAACTTTCCACCATGCGGTAGGTGTTTTGTCCGACTGTCAGCTAATAACCGCTAGCCAAATGTTACTTTCATGATTTTTTTGCTCTATCTTCTAACAGAAATGTCATACTAGAAGTTTCAGTTTCACCTCCTTGACATAATGTTTGCATGACACTTGTTCTTTCGTCTTTTGAGGAAATTTTGATGGGGACCACATGGTCTCCGCCATGATGCGTTGTTTACGTTTCTGTTTCCGACTCTAAAATTATTGCTAAAACATACAAGCGTGACAGCTTCAGTTAAATGTAACAATTTACATTTGTTCTAACAAATTCCTTCAATGTCGCTTTTTTAATAGAACATAAAATGTTGGCATTCGCCTTGGACACCCTTTTCTTCCGTTTGAGATGATTGACCCACAAAGGTGAGAGTGGGTATCCCTGTTCTGCATCATCAACAACAGAATCCATTTTATTTAATCCTGATGGCCAGGTTGTGATAGCATAACGAAGGGCCTACGAACTCTAAACACACTCTAAAACATTGAGCCTATTACTGGAAACAACCAGTATCACTACAGTGTTTATAATGACATTTATGGAATTGCAATTTTAACCAACTGTCATTGGGAAAGAAACAGTTGTTGAATGAAAATGCATTTAACAAATTTCAAGGAAGTCTTGCCATTTAATCGCTCCCATAATGTCATTTTAATATGAACTTAATAATCAGAGTGCTGAATGGTAATGTTGGTAATTTAGAACACTAATTTAATTGCATGGTTTATAATACATGAGTATAAGGGGAAGGAAGAATGTGGCAACCAGAATGGGATTTGAACCCAGGACCACAAAACTCTTAGACAGATTAACATACTACACTACTTGGTCGCAGGACCACAAAACTCTTAGACAGACTCTTAACATACTAAGCTACTTTGTGGCAGGACCACAAAACTCTTAGACAGACTCTAACAAACCTTAGACAGACTCTTAACATACTGCACTTCTTGGTCGTACAACCACAAAACTCTTAGACAGACTCTAACATAGGAAGCTACTTGATCGCAGGACCACAAAACTCTTAGACAGACTCTTAACATACTACACTACTTGGTCGTACAACCACAAAACTCTTAGACAGACTCTAACATAGTAAGCTACTCGATCGCAGGACCACAAAACTCTTAGACAGACTCTTACATACTAAGCTACTTGATCGAAGGACCACAACACTCTTAGACAGACTCTAACATAGTAAGCTACTCGATCGCAGGACCACAAAACTCTTAGACAGACTCTAACAAACCTTAGACAGACTCTTAACATACTGCACTTCTTGGTCGTACAACCACAAAACTCTTAGACAGACTCTAACATAGTAAGCTACTCGATCGCAGGACCACAAAACTCTTAGACAGACTCTCACATACTAAGCTACTTGATCGCAGGACCACAAAACTCTTAGACAGACTCTAACATAGTAAGCTACTCGATCGCAGGACCACAAAACTCTTAGACAGACTCTCACATACTAAGCTACTTGATCGCAGGACCACAACACTCTTAGACAGACTCTAACATAGTAAGCTACTCGATCGCAGGACCACAAAACTCTTAGACAGACTATAACATACTACACTACTTGGTCGCACTACCACAAAACTCTTAGACAGACTCTAACCAACTAAGCTCCTTCGTTGCAGGACCTCAAAACTCTTAGACAGACTCTAACTAACTAAGCTCCTTCCTCGCAGGACCACAACACTCTTAGACAGACTCTTAACATCCTAAGCTACTTTGTCGCAGGACCACAAAACTCTTAGACAGGCTCTAACCAACTAAGCTCCTTCGTTGCAGGACCACAAAACTCTTAGACAGACTCTAACTAACTAAGCTCCTTCGTCGCAGGACCACAACACTCTTAGACAGACTCTTAACATACTAAGCTACTTTGTCGCAGGACCACAAAACTCTTAGACAGACTCTTAACATACTAAGCTACTTTGTCGCAGCACCACAAAACTCTTAGACAGACTCTAACCAACTAAGCTCCTTCGTTGCAGGACCACAAAACTCTTAGACAGACTCTAACATACTAAGCTACTTGATCGCAGGACCACAAAACTCTTAGACAGACTCTAACCAACTAAGCTCCTTCATCGCAGGACCACAACACTCTTAGACAGACCCTAACCAACTAAGCTCCTTCGTCGCAGGACCACAAAACTCTTAGACAGACTCTAACCAACTAAGCTCCTTCGTCGCAGGACCACAACCATCTTAGGCAGACCCTAACCAACTAAGCTCCTTCGACGCAGAACCACAAAACTCTTAGACAGACTAACAAACTAAGCTACTTGATCCCAGGACCACAAAACTCTTAGGCAGACTCTAACCAACTAAGCTCCTTAGTCGCAGGACCACGAAACTCTTAGACAGACTAACATACTAAGCTACTTGATCGCAGGACCACAAAACTCTTAGACAGACTCTAACATACTAAGCTACTTGGTCTCAGGACCACAAAACTCTTATAGACAGACTCTTACAAACTAAGCTACTTGATCACAGGACCACAACACTCTTAGACAGATTCTAACCAACTAAGCTCCTTTGTTGCAGGACCACGAAACTCTTAGACAGACTATAACATACTACACTACTTGGTCGCACTACCACAAAACTCTTAGACAGACTCTAACCAACTAAGCTACTTTGTAGCAGGACCACAAAACTTTTAGACAGACTCTAACATACTACACTTCTTGTTCGCACGACCACAAAACTCTTAGACAGACTATAACATACTACACTACTTGGTCGCACTACCACAAAACTCTTAGACAGACTCTAACCAACTAAGCTCCTTCGTCACAGGACCACAAAACTCTTAGACAGAATCTAACCAACTAAGCTCCTTTGTCGCAGGACCACAACACTCTTAGACAGACCCTAACTAACCTAGCTCCTTTGTCGCAGGACCTCAAAACTCTTAGACAGATTCTAACATACTAAGCTACTTTGTGGCAGGACCACAAAACTCTTAGACAGACCCTAACTAACCTAGCTCCTTTGTCGCAGGACCTCAAAACTCTTAGACAGATTCTAACATACTAAGCTACTTTGTGGCAGGACCCAAAAACTCTTAGACAGACTCTAACATGCTACACTAATACTAAGCTACTTGATCGCAGGACCACAAAACTCTTAGACAGACTCTAACATACTAAGCTTCTTGGTCTCAGGACCACAAAACTCTTAGACAGACTCTAACAAACTAAGCTACTTTGTTGCAGGACCACGAAACTCTTAGACAAACTAACATACTAAGCTACTTGATCGCAGGACCACAACACTCTTAGACAGACTCTAACCAACTAAGCTCCTTCGTCGCAGGACCACAAAACTCGTAGAAACACTCTAACATACTAAGCTACATGGTCGCAGGACCACGAAACTCTTAGACAGACTCTTAACATACTAAGCTACTTGGTCGCAGGACCACAAAACTCTTAGACAGACTCTTACATACTAAGCTACTTGATCGCAGGACCACAACACTCTTAGACAGACTCTAACATACTAAGCTACTTGATCGCAGGACCACAAAACTCTAAGACAGACTCTAACCAACTAAGCTCCTTCGTCGCAGGACTACAAAACTCTTAGACAGACTCTAACCAACTAAGCTCCTTCCTCGCACGACCACAAAACTCTTAGACAGACTATAACATACTACACTACTTGGTCGCAGTACCACAAAACTCTTAGACAGACTCTAACCAACTAAGCTACTTTGTCGCATGACCACAAAACTCTTAGACAGACTCTAACATACTACACTACTTGATCGCACGACCAAAAAACTCTTAGACAGACTATAACATACTACACTACTTGGTCGCACTACCACAAAACTCTTAGACAGACCCTAACCAACTAAGCTCCTTCGTCACAGGACCACAAAACTCTTGGACAGACTCTAACCAACTAAGCTCCTTTGTCGCAGGACCACAACACTCTTAGACAGACCCTAACCAACCTAGCTCCTTTGTCGCACGACCTCAAAACTCTTAGACAGACTCTAACATGCTACACTACTTGGTCGCATGACCACAACACTCTTAGACAGACTCTTAACATACTAAGCTACTTTGTGGCAGGACCACAAAACTCTTAGACAGACTCTAACCAACTAAGCTCCTTTGTCGCAGCACCACAAAACTCTTAGACAGCCTCTAACCAACTAAGCTCCTTCGTCGCAGGACCACAAAACTCTTAGACAGACCCTAACCAACTAAGCTCCTTGGTCGCAGGACCACAAAACTCTTAGACAGACTCTAACATACTAAGCTACTTGGTTGCAGGACCACAACACTCTTAGACAGACTCTTAACATTCTAAGCTACTTGGTCGCAGGACCACAAAACTCTTCGACAGACTCTTACATATTAAGCTACTTGATCGCAGGACCACAAAACTCTTAGACAGACTCTAACATACTAAGCTACTTGATCGCAGGACCACAAAACTCTTAGACAGACTCTTACATACTAAGCTACTTGATCGCAGGACCACAAAACTCTTAGACAGACTCTAACATACTAAGCTACTTGATCGCAGGACCACAAAACTCTTAGACAGACTCTAACATTCTAAGCTACTTGATCGCAGGACCACAAAACTCTTAGACAGACTCTAACATACCAAGCTACTTTGTCGCAGGACCACAAAACTCTTAGACAGACTAACATACTAAGCTACTTGATCGCAGGACCACAAAACTCTTAGACAGACTCTAACATACTAAGCTACTTGATCGCAGGACCACAAAACTCTTAGACAGACTAACATACTAAGCTACTTGGTCGCAGGACCACAAAACTCTTAGACAGACTCTAACATACTAAGCTACTTGATCGCAGGACCACAAAACTCTTAGACAGACTCTAACATACTAAGCTACTTGATCGCAGGACCACAAAACTCTTAGACAGACTAACATACTAAGCTACTTGGTCGCAGGACCACAAAACTCTTAGACAGACTCTAACATACTAAGCTACTTGGTTGCAGGACCACAACACTCTTAGACAGACTCTTAACATTCTAAGCTACTTGGTCGCAGGACCACAAAACTCTTCGACAGACTCTTACATATTAAGCTACTTGATCGCAGGACCACAAAACTCTTAGACAGACTCTAACATACTAAGCTACTTGATCGCAGGACCACAAAACTCTTAGACAGACTCTAACATAGTAAGCTACTTGATCGCAGGACCACAAAACTCTTAGACAGACTCTAACATACCAAGCTACTTTGTCGCAGGACCACAAAACTCTTAGACAGACTAACCTACTAAGCTACTTGATCGCAGGACCACAAAACTCTTAGACAGACTCTAACATACTAAGCTACTTGATCGCAGGACCACAAAACTCTTAGACAGACTAACATACTAAGCTACTTGGTCGCAGGACCACAAAACTCTTAGACAGACCCTAACATACTAAGCTACTTGATCGCAGGACCACAAAACTCTTTAGACAGACTCTAACATACCAAGCTACTTTGTCGCAGGACCACAAAACTCTTAGACAGACTCTAACATACTACACTACTTGGTCGCAGGACCACAAAACTCTTAGACAGACTCTAACCAACTAAGCTCCTTCGTCGCATGACCACAAAACTCTTAGACAGACCCTAACCAACTAAGCTCCTTCGTCGCAGGACCACAATACTCTTAGACAGACTCTAACATACTAAGCTACTTGGTCGCAGGACCACGAAACTCTTAGACAGACTCTTAACATTCTAAGCTACTTGGTCACAGGACCACAAAACTCTTCGACAGAATCTTACATATTAAGCTACTTGATCGCAGGACCACAAAACTCTTAGACAGACTCTAACATACTAAGCTACTTTGTCGCACGACCACAAAACTCTTCGACAGACTCTTAACATACCAAGCTACTTTGTCGCAGGACCACAAAACTCTTAGACAGACTCTAACATAGTAAGCTACTTGATCGCAGGACCACAAAACTCTGAGACAGACTCTAACATACTAAGCTACTTTGTCGCACGACCACAAAACTCTTCGACAGACTCTTAACATCCCAAGCTACTTTGTCGCAGGACCACAAAACTCTTAGACAGACTCTAACATAGTAAGCTACTTGATCGCAGGACCACAAAACTCTTAGACAGACTAATCTTCTATGCTACTTGATCGCAGGACCACAAAACTCTTAGACAGACTAACATACTAAGCTACTTGATCACAGGACCACAAAACTCTTAGACAGACTAACCAACTATGCCACTTGGTCGCAGGACCACAAAACTCTTAGACAAAAAGAGTAGTATCAATTATCAAATTAACTCATGCTGTTGTTTGAAATGACATAAAGAAATGAAATGCTTATAAATGCATGTAGAACTAATCTTTTTTTAAAACTTGATCGTCTTTCAGAATCAATGGAACAACAGATGGAGCAGCAAGAGGCTCTCTGTGCCTCTGTGACGGCACTAAATTTGATGGAGAATTATTCGGGGAGCCTTGCGATATTGCAGGGGAAGTCGGTAAGTTAAAATTTGATGGAGAATTATTCAGGGAGCTTTGTGATATTGCAGAGGAAGTCGGTAAGTTAAAATTTGATGGAGAATTATTCAGGGAGCTTTGTGATATTCCAGGGGAAGTCAGTAAGTTAAAGTTTAATGGAGAATTATTCGGGGAGCCTTGCGATATTGCAGGGAAGTCGGTAAGTTAAAATTTGATGGATAATTATTCAGGGAGCTTTGTGATATTGCAGAGGAAGTCGGTAAGTTAAAATTTAATGGAGAATTATTCGGGGAGCCTTGCAATATTGCAGGGGAAGTCAGTAAGTTAAAATTTAATGGAGAATTATTCAGGGAGCTTTGTGATATTCCAGGGGAAGTCAGTAAGTTAAAATTTAATGGAGAATTATTCGGGGAGCCTTGCGATATTGCAGGGAAGTCGGTAAGTTAAAATTTGATGGAGAATTATTCAGGGAGCCTTGCGATATTGCAGGGGAAGTCAGTAAGTTAAAATTTAATGGAGAATAATTCGGGGAGCCTTGCGATATTGCAGGGGAAGTCGGTAAGTTAAAATTTAATGGAGAATTATTCGGGGAGCCTTGCAATATTGCAGGGGAAGTCGGTGAGTTAAAATTTAATGGAGAATTATTCGGGGAGCCTTGCAATATTGCAGGGGAAGTCGGTAAGTTAAAATTTAATGGAGAATTATTCGGGGAGCCTTGCAATATTGCAGGGGAAGTCGGTAAGTTAAAATTTAATGGAGAATTATTCAGGGAGCTTTGTGATATTCCAGGGGAAGTCAGTAAGTTAAAATTTAATGGAGAATTATTCGGGGAGCCATGCGATATTGCAGGGGAAGTCGGTAAGTTAAAATTTGATGGAGAATTATTCAGGGAGCTTTGTGATATTGCAGAGGAAGTCGGTAAGTAAAAATTTGATGGAGAATTATTCAGGGAGCCTTGCGATATTGCAGGGGAAGTCGGTAAGTTAAAATTTAATGGAGAATAATTTGGGATGCCTTGCAATATTGCAGGGGAAGTCGGTAAGTTAAAATTTAATGGAGAATTATTTGGGGAGCCTTGTGATATTGCAGGGAAAGTTGGTAGGTTAAACAGGGTTATTCTCCAGCATGCTAACTAGATACCTCCTGACTAATTTTCTGGTTCTGTAATTCATGTGACTATCATTGATCACTATTAAAGCTATGAGCTAGCTATGTTTGGATGGAAGTACCCTGTACTGTCCACCCATGTAAATTGATAAATGATAAATGATTTAAAATAGCCTTGTAAAATAAATGATGAAAGTGCTCCAATTATATACTGTAGTGATAATGCTCTCTATTTTACCAGTTAAAATGTAGCAATCAAGTTCAATTTCAAAATAAAATACCGAGGAGCATCAGTCATCTAGCCATCCCTTTCCTAAGAAAAAGGGCTTGATTATTATAGGGCTGTGCTACTTGGTCAAACTTGTATAGAAAAAGGTAAATCTGGGTCTGAAATTATGAGACACCCAGACGATTGCAGGGATCAATTTAGACTTGATTCACTACCATTTATGGGTAGTTTCCCCTACATAAACAAATTCCCGTTCTTTGAAATTCCCTCTGTGTGCTTCAAAATTCCCCTTTTTCAATAAGAAAATAGCTGTTTTTCTTCAAAATATTTCCCCTATATATCTTTTCTTTAAAGTTCAACATTTAAAATGCATAATACTGTATATACACATTTTCTCAACATAATTTAAACAAAAGTTCTACAATTTTAAGCTTCAAATTGTTTTAAAAATTGAAATATATTGCAAATATGTATGTCTGACAAAACATTTATCTTTTACCTTCATGACGCTAGAGCCTTATATCAAGATTTTTATTTCCCCAAAATCTGAAAAAGGGTAATTTCCCCTAAAACCTAGATTGATCCCTGGATTGATAGCTGGATTGATAAGGGTAGATAGTGGGACAAGCAGATTAGTGGTGACTGGATAGTGGGGCAAGCAGATTAGTGGTGACTGGATAGTGGGGCAAGCAGATTAGTGGTGGCTGGATAGTGGGGCAAGCAGATTAGTGGTGACTGGATAGTGGGGCAAGCAGATTAGTGGTGGCTGGATAGTGGGGCAAGCAGATTAGTGATGGCTGGATAGTGGGGCAAGCAGATTAGTGGTGGCTGGATAGTGGGACAAGCAGATTAGTGGTGGCTGAATATTGGGGCAAGCAGATTAGTGGTGGATGGATAGTGGGGCAAGCAGATTAGTGGTGGCTGGATAGGGGGGCAAGCAGATTAGTGGTGTCTGGATAGCGGGGCAAGCAGATTAGTGGTGGGTGGATAGTGGGGCAAGCAGATAAGGGGTAACTGGATAATGGGACAACCAGATTAGTGATGGCTGGATAGTGGGCAGATTAGTGATGGCTGGATAGTGGTGCAAGCAGATTAGTGGTGGCTTGATAGTGGGGCAAGCAGATTAGTGGTGACTGGATAGTGGGGCAAACAGATTAGTGGTGGCTGGATAGAGGGGCAAGCAGATTAGGGGTGGCTGGATAGTGGGGCAACCAGATTAGTGATGGCTGGACAGTGGGACAAGCAGATTAGTGATGGCTGGATAGTGGGGCAAGCAGATAAGTGGTAACTGGATAATGGGACAAGCAGATTAGTGATGGCTGGATAGTGGGACAAGCAGATTAGTGATGGCTGGATAGTGGGACAAGCAGATTAGTGATGGCTGGATAGTGGGACAAACTGATTAGTGGTGGCTGGATAGTGGGACAAACAGATTAGTGGTAGCTTGATAGGAGGACTACTAGATTAGTGGTGGCTGGATAGTGGGACAAGCAGATTAGTGGTAACTGGATAATGGGACAAGCAGATTAGTGGTGGCTGGATAGTGGGACAAGCAGATTAATGCGGCTGGATTAATGAGGCTTGATAGTGGGACAAGCAGATTAGTGGTGGCTGAATAGTGGGACAAGCATATTACGGGTGGCTGGATAGTGGGACAAGCAGATTAATGAGGCTGGATAGTGGGACAAACAGATTAGTGGTAGCTGGATAGTGGGACAACCAGATTAGTGGTGGCTGGATAGTGGGACAAACAGATTAGTGGTAGCTGGATATTGGGACAAACAGATTAGTGGTGGCTGGATTGTGGGACAAGCAGATTAATGAGGGTGCATAGGGGAACAAGCAGATTAGTGTGGCTGGATTAATGAGGCTTGATAGTGGGACAAACAGATTAGTGGTGGCTGGATCAATAAGGCTTGAAAGGGGGACAAGCAGATTAGTGGTGGCTGGATAGTGGGACAAACAGATTAGTGGTAGCTGGATAGTGGGACAAACAGGTTAGTGGTGGCTGGATAGTGGGACAAACAGATTAGTGGTAGCTGGATAGTGGGACAAACAGATTAGTGGTGGCTAGATAGTGGGACAAGCAGATTAATGAGGCTGAATAGGGGAACAAGCAGATTAGTGTGGCTGGATTAATGAGGCTTGATAGTGGGACAAGCAGATTAGTGGTGGCTGGATAGTGGGACAAACAGATTAGTGGTGGCTGGATAGTGGGACAAACAGATTAGTGGTGGCTGGATAGTGGGACAAACAGATTAGTGGTGGCTGGATAGTGGGACAAACAGATTAGTGGTGGCTGGATAGTGGGACAAACAGATTAGTGGTGGCTGGATAGTGGGACAAACAGATTAGTGGTGGCTGGATAGTGGGACAAACAGATTAGTGGTGGCTGGATAGTGGGACAAACAGATTAGTGGTGGCTGGATAGTGGGACAAACAGATTAGTGGTGGCTGGATAGTGGGACAAGCAGATTAGTGGTGGCTGGATAGTGGGACAAACAGATTAGTGGTAGCTTGATAGGAGGACTACTAGATTAGTGGTGGCTGGATAGTGGGACAAGCAGATTAGTGGTGACTGGATAGTGGGGCAACCAGATTAATGAGACTGGATTAATGAGGCTTGATAGTGGGACAAGCAGATTAGTGGTGACTGGATAATAGGACAACCAGATTAGTGATGGCTGGATAGGTGGACAAGCAGATTAGGGGTGACTGGATAATGGGACAACCAGATTAGTGATGGCCGGATAGTGGGACAAGCAGATTAGTGGTGGCTGGGTAGGGGGACAAGCAGATTAGTGGTGGCTGGATAGTCGGACAAACAGATTAGTGGTGGCTGGATAGTGGGACAAGCAAATTAGTGATGGCTGGATAGTGGGACAAACAGATTAGTGGTAGCTGGATAGGAGGACTACTAGATTAGAGGTGGCTGGATAGTGGGGCAAGCAGATTAGTGGTAACTGGATAGAGGGACAAGCAGATTAATAAGGCTGGATTAATGAGGCTTTTAATGAGGCTGGATTAATGAGGCTTGATAGTGGGGCAAGCAGATTAGTGGTGGCTGGATAGTGGGGCAAACAGATTAGTGGTAGCTTGATAGGAGGACTACTAGATTAGTGGTGGCTGAATATTGGGGCAAGCCGATTAGTGGTGGATGGATAGTGGGGCAAGCAGATTAGTGGTAACTGGATAGAGGATAGTGGGACTACTAGATTAGTGGTGGCTGGATAGTGGGGCAAGCAGATAAGTGGTGGCTTGATAGTGGGAAGATTAGTGATGGCTGGATAGTGGGACAAGCAGATTAGTGATGGCTGGGTAGTGGGACAAGCAGATTAGTGGTGGCTGGATAGGGGGACAAACAGATTAGTGGTAGCTTGATAGGAGGACTACTAGATTAGTGGTGGCTGGATAGTGGGACAAGCATATAAATGGTGTCTGGATAGTAGGGCAAGCAGATAAGTGGTGGCTTTATAGTGGGTCTACTAGATTAGTGGTGGCTAGATAGTGGGACAAGCAGATTAATGAGGCTGAATGATAGTGGGACAAGCAGATTAGTGGTGACTGGATAATAGGACAACCAGATTAGTGATGGCTGGATAGGTGGACAAGCAGATTAGGGGTGACTGGATAATGGGACAACCAGATTAGTGATGGCTGGATAGTGGGAGAAGCAGATTAGTGGTGACTGGATAATGGGACAACTAGATTAGTGGTGGCTGGATAGTGGGACAAGCAAATTAGTGGTGGCTGGATAGTGGGACAAGCAAATTAGTGGTGGCTGGATAGTGGGACAAGCAAATTAGTGGTGGCTGGATAGTGGGACAAGCATATAAATGGTGTCTGGATAGTAGGGCAAGCAGATAAGTGGTGGCTTGATAGTGGGACTACTAGATTAGTGGTGGCTAGATAGGGGGACAAGCAGATTAGTGGTGGCTGGATAGTGGGGCAAACAGATTAGTGGTAGCTTGATAGGAGGACTACTAGATTAGTGGTGGCTGGATAGTGGGACAATCAGATTAGTGGTGGCTGGATAGTGGGACAACCAGATTAATGAGGCTGGATTAATGAGGCTTGAGAGTGGGACAAGCAGATTAGTGGTGGCTGGATAGGGGGACAAACAGATTAGTGGTAGCTTGATAGGAGGACTACTAGATTAGTGGTGGCTGAATATTGGGGCAAGCAGATTAGTGGTGGATGGATAGTGGGGCAAGCGGATTAGTGGTAACTGGATAATGGGACAACCAGATTAGTGATGGCTGGATAGTGGGAGAAGCAGATTAGTGGTGACTGGATAATGGGACAACTAGATTAGTGGTGGCTGGATAGTGGGACAATCAGATTAGTGGTGGCTGGATAGTGGGACAACCAGATAAGTGGTGGCGGGATAGAGGGACAAGCAGATTAATGAGGCTGGGTTAATGAGGCTTGATAGTGGGACAAGCAGATAAGTGGTGGCTGGATAGTGGGGAAAGCAGATTAGTGGTGATTAGTGGTGGCTGGACAGTGGGACAAGCAGATTAGTGGTGGCTGGATAGTGGGACAAGCATATAAGTGGTGTCTGGATAGTAGGGCAAGCAGATAATAGTGGTGATTAGTGGTGGCTGGACAGATTAGTGGTGGCTAGATAGTGGGGCAAGCAGATTAGTGGTGGCTGGATAGTGGGACAAGCAGATAAGTGGTGGCTGGATAGTGGGACAAGCAGATTAGTGGTGGCTGGATAGTCGGACAAACAGATTAGTGGTGGCTGGATAGTGGGACAAGCAAATTAGTGGTGGCTGGATAGTGGGACAAACAGATTAGTGGTGGCTGGATAGTGGGACAAGCAGATTAGTGGTGACTGGATAATGGGACAACTAGATTAGTCGTGGCTGGATAGCGGGACAAGCAGATTAGGGGTGACTGGATAGTGGGGCAACCAGATTTATGAGACTGGATTTATGAGGCTTGATAGTGGGACAAGCAGAGTAGTGGTGACTGGATAGTGGGACAAGCAGATTAGTGGTGTCTGGATAGTGGGGCAAGCAGATTAGTGGTGGCTGGATAGTCGGACAAATAGATTAGTGGTGGCTGGATAGTGGGACAACCAGATTAGTGGTGACTGGATAATGGGACAACTAGATTAGTGGTGGCTGGATAGCGGGACAAGCAGATTAGTGGTGACTGGATAGTGGGGCAACCAGATTAATGAGACTGGATTAATGAGGCTTGATAGTGGGACAAGCAGATTAGTGGTGACTGTATAGTGGGGCAAGCAGATTAGTGGTAACTGGATAGTGGGACAAGCACATTAGTGGTGGCTGGATAGTGGGACAAGCAGATTAGTGATGGCTGGATAGTGGGACAAGCAGATAAGTGGTGGCTGGATAGTGGGGAAAGCAGATTAGTGGTAACTGGATAGTGGGACAAGCAGACAACCAGATTAGGGATAGTGGGACAAGCAGATTAATGCGGCTGGATTAATGAGGCTTGATAGTGGGACAAGCAGATTAGGGGACAAGCAGATTAGTGGTGGCTGGATAGTGGGACAAGCAGATTAGTGGTGGCTGGATAGTGGGGCAAGCAGATAAGTGGTGGCTTGATAGTGGGACTACTAGATTAGTGGTGGCTGGATAGTGGGACAAGCAGATTAGTGGTGGCTGGATAGTGGGACAAACAGATTAGTGGTGGCTGGATAGTGGGACAAACTGATTAGTGGTGGCTGAATAGTGGGACAACCAATTTAGTGATGGCTGGATTAACGAGGCTTGAAAGGGGGACAAGCAGATTAGTGGTGGCTGGATAGTGGGACAAACAGATTAGTGGTAGCTGGATAGTGGGACAAACAGGTTAGTGGTGGCTGGATAGTGGGACAAACAGATTAGTGGTAGCTGGATAGTGGGACAAACAGATTAGTGGTGGCTAGATAGTGGGACAAGCAGATTAATGAGGCTGAATAGGGGAACAAGCAGATTAGTGTGGCTGGATTAATGAGGCTTGAAAGGGGGACAAGCAGATTAGTGGTGGCTGGATAGTGGGACAAACAGATTAGTGGTAGCTGGATAGTGGGACAAACAGGTTAGTGGTGGCTGGATAGTGGGACAAACAGATTAGTGGTAGCTGGATAGTGGGACAAACAGATTAGTGGTGGCTAGATAGTGGGACAAGCAGATTAATGAGGCTGAATAGGGGAACAAGCAGATTAGTGTGGCTGGATTAATGAGGCTTGAAAGGGGGACAAGCAGATTAGTGGTGGCTGGATAGTGGGACAAACAGATTAGTGGTAGCTGGATAGTGGGACAAACAGGTTAGTGGTGGCTGGATAGTGGGACAAACAGATTAGTGGTAGCTGGATAGTGGGACAAACAGATTAGTGGTGGCTAGATAGTGGGACAAGCAGATTAATGAGGCTGAATAGGGGAACAAGCAGATTAATGCGGCTGGATTAATGAGGCTTGATAGTGGGACAAGCAGATTAGTGGTGGCTGGATAGTGGGACAAGCATATTACGGGTGGCTGGATAGTGGGACAAGCAGATTAATGAGGCTGGATAGTGGGACAAACAGATTAGTGGTAGCTGGATAGTGGGACAACCAGATTAGTGGTGGCTGGATAGTGGGACAAACAGATTAGTGGTAGCTGGATATTGGGACAAACAGATTAGTGGTGGCTGGATTGTGGGACAAGCAGATTAATGAGGGTGCATAGGGGAACAAGCAGATTAGTGTGGCTGGATTAATGAGGCTTGATAGTGGGACAAACAGATTAGTGGTGGCTGGATCAATAAGGCTTGAAAGGGGGACAAGCAGATTAGTGGTGGCTGGATAGTGGGACAAACAGATTAGTGGTAGCTGGATAGTGGGACAAACAGATTAGTGGTGGCTAGATAGTGGGACAAGCAGATTAATGAGGCTGAATAGGGGAACAAGCTGGATAGTGGGACAAACAGATTAGTGGTTGATAGTGGGACAAGCAGATTAGTGGTGGCTGGATAGTGGGACAAACAGATTAGTGGTAGCTGGATAGTGGGACAAACAGATTAGTGGTGGCTGGATAGTGGGACAAACTGATTAGTGGTGGCTGAATAGTGGGACAACCAATTTAGTGATGGCTGGATTAACGAGGCTAGATAGGGGGACAAGCAGATTAGTGGTGGCTGGATTAACGAGGCTAGAAAGTGGGGCAGGCAGATTAGTGTGGCTTGATTAATTAGGCTGGATAATGGGACAAGCAGATTAGTGATGGCTAAATTAATGAGGCTGGATAGTGGGACAACCAGATTAGTGGTTGCTGGATTAATGATGTTAGATAGTGGGACAACCAGATTGGTGGTAGCGAGGTTAATGATGTTAGATAGTGGGACAAGAAGATTAGTGGTAGCTAGGTTAATGATGTTAAATAGTGGGACAACAAAATTAGTGGTAGCTAGTGTTAATGATGTTAGATAGTGGGACAATACAATTAGTGGAAACTAGTGCTTATGATGTTAGAAAGTGGGACAAGTAGATTAGTGGTAGCGAGGTTAATGATGTTGATAGTGGGACAACAAAATTAGTGGTAGCTAGTGTTTATGATGTTAGAAAGTGGGACAGGCAGATTAGTGGTGGCTGGATTACTGAGGTTAGATCACAGGGCTAGACAATAAGGGTTTGCCCGATAGTCTGAAACTACCTGGTAGTAAAATCTCAGCTGGATTTGTGGTACCAAAAACCACTAGCCCAATGGACTAGTCAAATTTTGATATTGCTCATCTTGTTAAATAATATTGGGTTTGTGGAATTTCTGTATAGACTATAGTAAAGATTGGAAAGCAGTAGTACGACCCTAATGGACAAGTAGTCGAAACCAATTTCTAGCCCTGCCATAAAACCATTTGCATAAGGATAGTTGTTCTGTTGTCTCAAAAATGTATAATTAAGCACAAAGTCTAAGGGCTCAAATAAAGGTTCCAGTTCACAGCTACACAATTGACACTTTTTGTAAGACTGAATATGACCTTGACTAAATGAAAAAAAATGCATTGAAAATTAAAATCACACAAAAATATTCATGAATTAATGAGAATTAATTTTAGTCATTATTTTGTATGAACATTGTATAAAATAATGAAATTATGATTACTATTTAATAAATATTCTGAAAATTATTACTGAACTAATGTATTTCATTGATTTTGCAGTTTTTCAGACTGGAATGGTTGGATACCCAGAATCCCTCACTGACCCCTCGTACAGAAAGCAGATACTTATCTTAACATACCCATTGATTGGGAATTATGGGATACCATCAGATGAGGAGGACGAGTTTGGACTGAGGAAGTGGTTTGAGTCGGCACAGATCCACGTGGCAGCGTTGGTTGTGGCCGACCTTTCCCAGCACTACAGTCACTGGGGGGCTACCAAATCCCTGTCCGACTGGCTCAAAGAATACAAGGTGCCCGCCTTGTATGGTACGTCTTTTAAAATTTCTTTCTAGACTAAGTTCACCTCAGTTTGTTATTGTTACTTTGCAAGAAAAATCTCAGATTTATAGCTCGCCTCTACATATGTAGTACCCTTGGTGTCAGAATTAGCTTTGCCCAGTTAAAGTTTAAGCATGTGGGTTGATATTCATTAATATTTCTGTAACCTGCAGTGTTTGTACTAGCTAGGAAGCTGTTATTTAAACATGGAGGATCTCGAGGGGTTGAACATTTATGCGTTGCATTTGAAAGAGAAACTGAAATCAACGAAACTTTAGCTTGCTTAATATCAAAGTATGGGAAATATATCAAATAATAGATAAAAAAACCTTCACATCAAATCAGGGAAATAGAAAACTATATATAGTTCATTCAATTTTCTTTGTTTCACAAAAAGGATTTCTGTAGGTTATATATTTAGGTTTTAGTTCACGTTGGTAAAAAGCTAATATAAGTTTGAGTTGNGGTGATCAGTATGTCGCCTGGTTGACAGGGTAAGGCTAACATTAGGGAGGTGGGGGATAAGTTGAGGTGGAATATGTTGTCTGATATTGTTTGTTTCTTCCTCAGGGTTGGACACCAGGGAACTCACAAAGAAGATTCGTGAAAATGGGTCAATGTTAGGCAAGGTGGGTAAAATGCAGGCTGTTAAGTTAGCTTGACTTAACCTGAGCAGTATATAGTGTGTTTTATGTTAACCATGCTTCCTCTATAAAAGAAGGATTTTTTTTTGTATTAGTTCTTGTATTGGCCATAACGTTTATATATATCAGACATTTGAAAAAACTTTTTAAGCTTTTGGTATCAATTAGCAAAAGAATGTGTACATTATGATGATGTGAGTGCACCTCAAGGTCAAAGGTAAAACTTACATCTTCTGGTTCTCGTTCTAATGAGAACTTGTTTGCACCTTAAGTTTAAAACTGTTTAAGACATCATACCATTGCATTGTGTCCCCACTGGAGCAGAGATGTAGCAGAGGTGGTATTGTCAAAAATATCCTCAGGATGTAGAAAAACTTTTATTCTGCAGTATGACACATCTCTGACTCTTTAAATGATGTCATCGAAATACATTAGAAACTTACACACTATATATTGACATTAATACAAACAGAAGAGGAAATAACTCAAACAAAACTGTATGACTTGGAAAGTATTCTCAATACACACATTCTCAGGATAAATTACATTATCATGTCTTGTTTAAATATATAGTAATAACAATGCCATTACTTCCTTGCTATGCTTAGATGATAGTCAAAAACTTACTTAATAATCATTAATCAACATTATCACAATTTGTTTCAAGGAATTTCTTTAATTTCAACCTGATTACAATTTGCTTGTTTCAGTAAGTTTATGTATAATATTTTAATCTGTATTTGCTAGATACTATCCTGTAAGCGAAAAACACCTTCAGCTGGTTAGTACTGTAGCAAAAAAATATATTGCAAGCAATTGCAAAACCTTTACCTCAGAATGAGTTTTCATTAACTTGGTTAACTTGATTTTTTTTGATTCAAAATGTTAAAATGTCTTACTATATGGAATACTTTATATTAATTGTATATCTACATATGTATTTATTATGTCAGGTTGTTCGAGAGGGTACCAACCCAGACTCGCTGCCGTTTATGGATCCCAATGAACTCCACCTGGTTGGAGAGGTCTCATCAAAGGTAGGTAACTCCAATGACCCATCCTCGATATCCGGGTTTTACGCTCACTTTCGCTCTCTGCACCCCTGGAGTATGTCATGGCAAAATTGAAGGCATGCAGCTAGCTATTTGATTGGTGTCGGGTAACCTGACCAATCACTAGGTTGATACTTGTCCTTTGAAGATTACAGAGGAGCGACACCCGACTTCAAAGCCAGTACATTTTACTGTTACCCTACCTAGAGATTCTTTTCATGTACATCATAGGATCAAACTAGTCTTCTCCTCTCATCCACAAGGTGTTACACACTGAGCCTTCCATTTTGCTATGACATATTACAGGGGTGCAGAAAGCAAAAGTGAGCGTAACACCTGGATACCGAGGATGCCAATTACCAGGCTAGATGTCAAATTCAGGACCACCAAATTCTAGAAGCTCATTGTGAGCTATCTTTTCTCCAGTGTTTTCCTGGTCTCTTAGCTCCATCTTTGATAGATCAGACTTCAGCCATTTTCCAAAACTGATGCAATCAATATCTCGTTAATTTTACTATAAAATGTCTATTCCTTTATTTTTTCTGCAAGCATTATGGATTTATGATAAGTATCCTCTTCTGTATATATTGATAAGAGGAACAAGTATGAATGACCTTTAATTGACCTTTCTCCAGGCCCCAGTGGTGTATAACAGTTCTGGCGACGTTACAATCTACGCCATCGACTGTGGTATAAAAAACAACCAGATACGGTGTCTTTGTGAAAGGGGTGCAAAGGTCAAGGTTGTGCCATGGGATTATCCTATTGATAGCAAAGGTAAGTGTGTGTAGATGTCAAAAAAGCTAAAGATTTATATATTTTAGGTGAACCAAAAACCTTTTTTTTTAAATATATAAATATAAGTTGGAAAAACTTGTTTCATAAATGTTGTAAAATGAAGAAAGTTTATCTATGATTTCCTAATACATGTTATTGATTTAGTGCCGTCGTGGAAAACTGTATTTCAGAGTATGATGGACTCCTCATCAGTAACGGCCCTGGCAATCCCCAGATGTGTGCCAAGACCATATCAAACCTGCGACAGGTTCTGAGTGAGGATAAGAACAACTGTAAACCCGTGTTTGGGATCTGTCTGGGCCACCAACTCATGGCGCTAGCCATCGCGGCAAAAACCTTCAAAATGAAGTAAGTCTTTGTTTACCCCATGTTACCAGTTCTGGGCCACCAACTCATGTTGCTCGCCATCACGGCAAAAACTTTCAAAATGAAGAAAGTCTTTGTTTACCCCATGTTACCAGTTTGTTACCAGTTCAGGGCCACCAGCTCATGTCGCTAGCCATCACGGCAAAAACCTAAAAAATAAAGTAAGTCTTTGTTTACCCCATGTTACAAGTTCTGGGCCACCAGCTCATGTTGCTCGCCATCACGGCAAAAACTTTCAAAATGAAGTAAGTCTTTGTTTACCCCATTTTACCAGTTTGTTACCAGTTCTGGGCCACCAGCTCATGTCGCTAGCCATCGCCGCAAAAACCTAAAAAATAAAGTAAGTCTTTGTTTAGCCCATGTTACCAGTTCTGGGCCACCAGCTCATGATGCTAGCCATCACGGCAAAAACCTTCAAAATGAAGTAAGTCTTTGTTTACCCCATGTTACCAGTTCTGGGCCACCAGCTCATGTCGCTAGCCATCACGGCAAAAACCTTCAAAATGAAGTAAGTCTTTGTTTACTGGCCATGTAACCAGTTCTGGGCCACCAGCTCATGTTGCTAGCCATCGCCGCAAAAACCTTCAAAATGATGTAAGTCTTTGTTTACCGGCCATGTTACCAGTTCTGGGCCACCAGCTCATGTCGCTAGCCATCGCTGCAAAAACCTTCAAAATGATGTAAGTCTTTGTTTACCCCATGTTACCAGTTCTGGGCCACCAACTCATGTCGCTAGCCATCACAGGGATAACCTTCAAAATGAAACTCAAATTCAAAAATCTAGATTTCCTGTGAAATCAGCTATGATAATTGAGAACTGGGATAGGCTGGCATACAGCTTATTTCAACTTATATGCCTCTTAGAGCTGCAACTCAAAAAGCCTGTTAAAAAATATGACAGCTTCAATTAAACTGTTAGTCTCTACATTTGTGTTTGCAAGGCACACAAAATATGTGAATGCTAATAAAATTGACAGTTCATTTCAAAATCACACTGACAGCAATATATGAAAAATAAATAAAAATAGAAAAATGTGGGGAAAAAAATACAATAAATGAATACATAAAAATATATAAAATGTATACATAGTTAATTTGGAGAGTGTATTGCAAACATATATATTAAATATTAATTTTATTTGTAATTATTGTTATTATACATTATAGTATATAGTGCCTTATCTACTAGGGCTGCAACGGTAAGAAATACTGTCCATCAAATAACTGTGACTGCTTTCTGTAGCAAAGCCAAGTTTTGTGTATTGTTTGTAGAATTAACTACATGCATCAATTATCATTTGCTTTGATGACAATTTGACTGCATACATCAATATTTATTGAAGCTTGCTTGAAGATAACTTTATTCTTATGCAGTAGTTGTCAATTATAATCTTCAAATCCTAAATTGGTTTCCCATAGCCAGTTTCCCGATGGATATATTAAGTAGATATATCGTTGATGCTATGTGGGTGTATTTAGGTTCAGCACTTCCATAGGATGGCTGTCGTATATGTTAGGTTACAGAGTAAAACATAGGTATAATAATATTTGTACAAACTTCAACATAGTTTAAGTTAGTTAGATACATGTACATATACTGATCACAAGTGCTTTTGTTCTCTGTCAAACTACAGAAAAATATATACTGACATACATTGCATGGTCTCGTACATATACTGATCACAAGTGCTTTTGTTCTCTGTCAAACTACAGAAAAATAAATATTGACATACATTGCATGGTCTAGTACATATACGGATCACAAGTGCTTTTGTTGTCCGTCAAACTACAGAAAAATAAATACTGACATACATTGCATGGTCTAGTACATATACTGCTTTTGTTCTCTGTCAAACTACAGAAAAATATATACTGACGTACATAGCATGGTCTAGTACATATACTGATCACAAGTGCTTTTGTTGTCCGTCAAACTACAGAAAAATAAATATTGACATACATAGCATGGTCTAGTGCATATACTGATCACAAGTGCTTTTGTTGTGGCATGGTCTAGTACATATACTGATCACAAGTGCTTTTGTTGTCCGTCAAACTACAGAAAAATAAATACTGACATACATTGTATGGTCTAGTACATAAACTGATCACAAGTGCTTTTGTTGTCTGTCAAACTACAGAAAAATATATACTGACATACATTGCATGGTCTCGTACATATACTGATCACAAGTGCTTTTGTTGTCCGTCAAACTACAGAAAAATAAATAAATACTTATCTACGTTATTATCTACTGGAATCGCAAACTAAACCAGAATAGGGTTCTTGGTGCACTGTTCCATTCCTACTATACTCTTGTAACTATAGGCCACTCTTAAGACATGTTTCGTTACATAGATATGCAATTCATTCTAACGATCACTCATACAATAAAATAGATATATAAATACAGTTTAAAGATTTCATGTTATAGCTGCCTGATTAGGTGCTAACTACTAGTTCTCCTATGTACACTGTATACACACGCTCATGTCCCAGTCTGTGTTTGGTCTGTGATACAGTCCCATGTGTGCCTCCCTACTTCTGTACTTGCTTTGATTAGTCGTCAGTCACAACCAGTTGTATTGGATAAACTTCCTCAAGACTGCGTTTGATTTTCTCTCTGCCCTTTTTCATGTTGGCCTGAAAATTATAGATGGAAAATGAATGAAAGAGGGCAGATGAACAGTATCTTAATAGGATAAATATTGTTTATCACTAACCTAAGGGAAACAAATACTAATGTAGCGGAACTAGACTGGGTCAATCGTCAGCAGCCAGGTAGCTCAATTGGTAGAGCGTCTGTCTAGAGTTTGGAGGGTCCCAGGTTCGAACCCCGATCTGGCCATGCGTTTTTCCATCTCCTGTTACACTAACAATAGAAATATAGTATCTTGATATGTAACAGTTTTTGTGGCAAGATCTTTCTTACCAAGAACCTCACAGCTTAACATTAACAGATAAAATTTCAGTTGGAGAAAGAAAATGGGCTATTTGACCATTAATGAATTGCAATGCAGCATACATACTTATGTACATATGTCACCCTGGTAAAATACAAGCCACTTCCTACTGACTCGGCAAGGGAGAATTCTCTTAAACTCATCCTGTAGAGTGTTGGACCGGAGTTCCAAGGTTTTACTTGTAGGGGCCGAATTGAAAAAATAGTGACATCTGTTACATACATTCACCTGTGTACATCATTAACATGTGATCAGCACAGCATTCGTACTTTAATATACATTTGTACACCGTTGATGAGCGGCTATACAGCGTTCGTACTTGTGTATATTTACCTGTGTACACCGATGATGTGAGGCTATACAGCGTTCGTACTTGTGTATATTTACCTGGGTACACCGTTGATGAGCGGCTATACAGCGTTGGTACTTGTGTATATTTACCTGTGTACACCGGTGATGAGCGGCTATACAGCGTTCGTACTTATGTATATTTACCTGTGTACACCGTTGATGATCGGCTATACAGCGTTCGTACTTGTGTATATTTATACTTATGTACATATGTCACCCTGGTAAAATACAAGCCACTTCCTACTGACTCGGCAAGGGAGAATTCTCTTAAACTCATCCTGTAGAGTGTTGGACCGGAGTTCCAAGGTTTTACTTGTAGGGGCCGAATTGAAAAAATAGTGACATCTGTTACATACATTCAACTGTGTACATCATTAACATGTGATCAGCACAGCATTCGTACTTTAATATACATTTGTACACCGTTGTTGAGCGGCTATACAGCGTTCGTACTTGTTTATATTTACCTGTGTACACCGTTGATGAACGGCTATACAGGGTTCGGACTTGTGGATATTTACCTGTGTACACCGTTGATGAGCCGCTATACAGCGTTCGTACTTGTGTATATTTATACTTATGTACATATGTCACCCTGGTAAAATACAAGCCACTTCCTACTGACTCGGCAAGGGAGAATTCTCTTAAACTCATCCTGTAGAGTGTTGGACCGGAGTTCCAAGGGTTTACTTGTAGGGGCCGAATTGAAAAAATAGTGACATCTGTTACATACATTCACCTGTGTACATCATTAACATGTGATCAGCGCAGCATTCGTACTTTAATATACATTTGTACACCGTTGTTGAGCGGCTATACAGCGTTCGTACTTGTTTATATTTACCTGTGTACACCGTTGATGAGCCGCTATACAGCGTTCGTACTTGTGTATATTTTCCTGTGTACACCGTTGATGAGAGGCTATACAGCGTTAGTACTTGTGTATATTTACCTGTGTACACCGTGGATGAGCGGCTATACAGCGTTCGTACTTGTGGATATTTACCTGTGTACACCGTTGATGAGAGGCTATTCAGCTGTCGTACTTGTGTATATTTACCTGTGTACACATTTGATGAGCCGCTATACAGCGTTCGTACTTGTGTATATTTACCTGGGTACACCGTTGATGAGCGGCTATACAGCGTGCATATTCCAGGATGTACACTCCACAGTCGGTTGATGAGCGGCTATACAGCGTTCGTACTTATGTATATTTACCTGTGTACACCGTTTATGAGCGGCTATACAGCGTTCGTACTTGTGGATATTTACCTGTGTACACCGTTGATGAGCGACTATACAGCGTTCGTACTTGTATATATTTACCTGTGTACACCGTTGATGAGCCGCTATACAGCGTTCGTACTTGTGTATATTTAGCTGTGTACACCGTTGATGAGCGGCTATACAGCGGTCGTACTTGTGTATATTTACCTGTGTACACCGATGATGTGAGGCTATACAGCGTTCGTACTTGTGTATATTTACCTGGGTACACCGTTGATGAGCGGCTATACAGCGTGCATATTCCAGGATGTACACTCCACAGTCGGTTGATGAGCGGCTATACAGCGTTCGTACTTATGTATATTTACCTGTGTACACCGTTTATGAGCGGCTATACAGCGTTCGTACTTGTGTTTATTTACCTGTGTACACCGTTGATGAGCGACTATACAGCGTTCGTACTTGTTTATATTAACCTTTTTACACCGTTGATTAGCGGCTATACAGTGTTCGTACTTGTGTATATTTACCTGTGTACACATTTGATGAGCCGCTATACAGCGTTCGTACTTGTGTATATTTACCTGGGTACACCGTTGATGAGCGGCTATACAGCTTTCGTGCTTGTGTATATTTACCTGTGTACACCGTTGACGAGCGGCTATACAGCGTTCGTACTTGTGTTTATTTACCTGTGTACACCGTTGATGAGCGACTATACAGCGTTCGTACTTGTATATATTTACCTGTGTACACCGTTGATGAGCGGATATACAGAGTTCGTACTAGTGTATATTTACCTGTGTACACCGTTGATGAGCGGCTATACAGCGTGCATATTCCAGGATGTACACTCCACAGTCGTAGGTATTCTTTTGCGTGGGGAACTTCTGAGCAGTGAAATATAAGACTATCAAGGTCATTATCTTTAAGATACCATCAATATAAATATATAAACACAAGGCTCTCAGGTTCATCTGTATTTTGGAAGGTCATTTTGTGTATTTGGGTGATTATGAGTGCATTGTGAAATAAAACTCGTGTACATGTCAGGATATTGAAGGAAAAAAGAAAATATCACATACTTGTATAAGGTAAAATTAATCAGTAGGTCAGCAACTAGCAACGAGATTTAGCAAGAACACTGTAGTGATTTAGTTACACAAATTGATATGTAACTCAAATATGTTGAATACAAGAACGGGTGATGTAGAATTATTTGGGCCTCGTTATTTAAAGCCCAGTTTTCTACACATGTTTGTTACTTAATGAGTTATTAACCAAAAATTCTTATTATTCACTTATAAATTTACAAGAATAAGACTGAGCAGGCAACCCAAANCCCACCACCACCACCACCACCACCACCACCACCGCCGAGTAAGATTGTTACCTTGAAGTGTTCCAGGTGTTTGTCCCTTACTAGTGTAAGACCGGCCTGCTTCAGGTAGTCACTGTAAATACCACATAATCATAATACACCATCTATGTATTTCTTAGTTTGAAACCATACTCCAATATACTCCACATTTTGAGATCATTCTTAAAATCTGTGAGAATTATTGAAACAAAGCTTCATTTGACAGATGACAGGAGATGTCTTACAAGACTGGCAAAGGAATTTATAATCAATTTCATATACAGTCGAATCTGCTCAAGCGACATCTGTATTAAATGACCATCTGTTTTATGAGACCACTTTTCTTTCCTCCTGATTGTTTTTACTATGTAATTTAACTGTATCAAGCGACCATCTGACTAACGCGAGCAGCGACCACCCAATACTGGCCCAAACATTATGTTAAACGACCACATTTGATACATTTTAGCGATCTTGTTTGACGAAATATACTAAACGGTCGTGTGAAATAGTTGTGGAACTCCAAATTTGCGACCGTCATCACATTTTACGAACGGTTACTTTACGATATTTTCACCAAGTTTAGTGAACAAATTTGACAAAACCAATTTCCAAACTTATAATAAATTCATTGATGTGCAGAAACAAATAAAAAGTATTTTTTCAAACTGCGGATATTGTTGATTTAGCAGTGAAAATACGGACTGATATTTATCGCAGCTGAGCAAAACCATTTTGATTGCACGAGTGTCCTGCTAGGCAATGGAACCTTTAACCCTACAATTTCCTCCATCTGATTGGATGAAGTACACTGGCAGGTTTTCATTCTTGAAATCGGGTCTGTCTAGAGATGTTCACGACAGCACTCTCGTGCGAAATTAACATTAAATATAAGCTAAACTGCACACTAAACATGTTTTTGTTAGCACACATATGGTTTCCAATTCCTCATCAATATTAAAAACCTTTCATACCATCCCTGAACCTCTCAACACCAAAGTACTAACGACAATAATACAGGTCCATTTTCAGCAACATGCTGTCGGCTTTATTTAGGTCAATTTTTAGCGCAGCGTCCGTCATCCGTCAACTTTTCCCTTAAAAACGCTACAAGTCCTTAACGGCTCAGAGGATTTTGACCAAATTTGGTCTGGAGCATCATTGGCCAAAGGGTTCTCAGTTTTGTATAATCGGAGGGTATGGTCCCCCTGGGAGCAAAGGGGTGGGGCCAAATAGGGGGAAAAAAGTAAATCTTTAAAAGTCTTCTTCTAAACCAATTGAAGGATTTTGACCAAATTTGTTCTAGAGCATCTTTGGACATAGGAGCCTCAAGTTTGTATGAAGGGAGTAGAGCTGTACCCACGATTCGATACGTATCTCGATATTTGAACCACGATTCAATTATTTCGATTCGATACACCTTTATTTTAAAATATAAACAAAATGAGATAAATAAGCCGTCGATTCACAGAAACACGCAGTGTTTCCATACTTTTGATTTGAAGCTTGCTGGAGCATCACAAATTTTAATTTCCTTACGGCGGTCTGCCATTTTGTTATGAATGCTTTGTGAAAATTGCATCCTCGCAGCCGATTGGTTGAGGGTTTAGAGATCAGCCAATGAAATTGGACGTCTCACCGATGTTTCGGCAAAAGCGGCATACACTAATATTCAGATGGTGACGTATCGAAAATCCTGAAAAATATATCATGAATCAAATCGAACATAAATAATCGCGGCACAAGTGCATCGCGGTGAATCGTGACGCCTCTAGGGGCAGAGGGGCGGGGCCCAATAGGGGAAATAGAGGATTTGTTTTCTCCTACTATACAAGTGAAGGGATATAAACCAAATGCAGTCTTAAGCATGCTTAGGGACAAAAGAATCAATTTTGTATAAACTGAGGTGTGTGGGCCCCCTTCTTTGTGGCAGATTAGTGGGGCCCATTAGGAGAAATAGAGGAAAACATTGAAGATCCTTCTCCTTTGTACTGATGAAGGGATTTTAACTAAACTTGTTCTAGAGCATCTTTGGGCAAAGGGAATTTAATATCTATAAATGGAGGATGTGGCCCCACCCCCCAGGGGCACAAGAGCGTGGCCCAATAGGGGAATTATTTTCCCTTCTGTACAAATGAAGGGATTTGAACCCCCCCCCCCCCCCCCCCTCCTTGGGACATCAGATGGAAACTCATTTTCTTGGTGTCTTACCCACCAAAATAGAGTGACATGTAGTTCTTCTTGCAACTTTGTTTCTTGTACTCCTTTGAGAAACCTGTATGGTTTTAAATTGAAAATAAAATACCAGGTGCGATATTAAGGCCCCTGAACCTCTTGTTTTAACTGGATTCTCTTTCCAGTTTCCATTGTAAAATAAAGGAACAATACACGTGAACCCATCTGTTGGACCAATACAGAAACCGCTATCATTTCAACAATGATATCTTTCGTAACAAATTAGTTAAATCATGGTCATTACCGAAAACACAGTCGTGGAAGTTGAGAACTTCAACAAGTCTCCGTCGATCGTTTGTTCTGAGTGAAATGACAATTCTTCTCAAACACTCTTAGTTGTTTGTTTACTGTCATAATAATCACTCGACTATTGATAAGTTATTCACCTGATCTGTTGAACGATGTTGTTTTAAACTACCTGTACATGTACGTGCGCTTGGGGTGGTGGTCTGTTTACAGTTGTCTGTATAAGGAGTCGTTTGGTTATATAGTCGGTTACAGTGTGTACAAAATATGGTCAAACTTTATTAAACAAACACTTTTATTAAACGACCGGTTTTTAATTTCCCTTGGGTGGTCGCTTAATACAGATTCCACTGTATTACAAGATATCTAACTCACGATATGGTTTTCATGTTTGTTTCATTGACAAGACCAAGTGGATCCAGGTAGGATATGGTCCCTTTCTTCACATCAACAACCTGTACAAAACATAGGTTATATTTATTACAGACAAAATATTTAAAATAGTTTAAAGTGAAGCAATGAGTAATAATTGTTAAATTAACATACAAAGTATTGGTACAAATGAGGATTTGTATATATCTATATATTTTTTTCATATTTCATCAGAGATGATATTTTAAAAGCTTTTATTAGATTAAAAACTCAAGTATTTATCTTTAACTTCCTTCAGCTGATTTTTGTGTCGCCTGCAACGTGAGGGAACATATAGGTATTACTTTGTCGATGTCTTCGTCGTCGTTGTCGTCGTCCGTTGCGTCATCGGAAACAAAATTTCTGTGCGATAACTTGAGTTCCCTTTGGTTGCTCCTTACTAAAACTGCTTGCTTGGGATTGCTTTTCAGGTCTAAAGGTTAACGTCACTTACTATAAATAGAAAATCTGTTTCGGTGCGATAACTTGAGTTTCTATAGGTCGATCGTGCTCAGACTGCATCCAGTGCTCTCTTACCAATAGTGCTTGCTTGGAATTGCTTTTCAGGTCTGAAGGTCAAAGGTCAAGGTCACCATTACTATAAATAGAATATCTGTTGTGCAGGCGACAAATCCACTCCTGTGGAATTATTATACCCCCACAACGAAGTTAGGGGGGTATACTGGAATCACCCTGTCTGTTGTCCGCAGTAACTTGTCCGGAAAACTTCTCCTTAATTAACAGGTGGATTTCATTGAAACTTTGCATGAATGATCAGTATCTTATGAAGTTGTGCAGCGGCATTTTAATTTGGGATTTCGACCCTTTTGATGGAGTTATGGCCCTTTTTGCGAAATACTTGTCCGCGTTACTCCTCTTTAACTAACAGGTGGATTTCATTGGAACTTTTCATGAATGATCAGTATCTTATGTAGTTGTGCACCGGCATTTTAATTTGGGATTTCAACCCTTTTTGATGGAGTTATGCCCCTTTGTGCGAAATACTTGTTTATTTTTTTGTTATTTTTGTTTTTTGTTTTTAATAAAATAGTGATTACCATAACTCATTACTGGTAGGAGACTATATTGATTTGCATAAGTAAGCCTTTAGCTTACAGTCCTGGTTTATATAGGAGCGGGGGTATTAGTTAGCCTTTGGCTTACAGTTCTAGTTATTATGAACACTGCCTTACAAGTTGATACACAATTTTTGTGATAAAGTCATGCTTGTCATTACGACAGATAGACCAGATACTTACTACGAGGGACCAATGGGACTGTTGGTGTAAGGGTATAAACAGGAACTCCATATCTGTAGTGTTGATTTCTCGTGACACGTTACCGACTCCTGTTCGTTTAATTTCCTCCAGAAGGAATGTATCTAAACACCACACTGGATATTTGTCCTCCAAAGTCGCCATATAAGCATTCACTACCTGTGGAGTAAATTGGCAGAGTTATTCCTGCTACTTAAAAATAAATAAAAATAAACAACATTTTGTTGCCTTGAAAGTCAAAAGTCAAGGTCAGAAAGACATTTGTTATACAATAAAATGTTGTTTTGATTTATGTTTACCTGTAACTGTTTGAGTACATATTTCTAAACATTTTCTTCAGGTTAGTAAGTATGGATTATGAGAATTTCTTTTTACACAACCAATAACATTTTCTATGTGACGTTTCGATGACTAGTACGATATGTACACTGTCACCTTCCTCAGACAAATGACCAGTGAAGCGTATGTACACGGTCACCTTCATCAGACAAATGACCAGTGAAGTGTATGCACACACAGGTGTAAAATGTGTACGTGATGTCCATAAAATCGATGTCGATTTCGGCTACGCTGAAAACGTATGTACAATAGTTGTTATATATGTACCGAAATGACTCAATTCAGCTACGCTTTGAGTACAGCTGACATGATTTAACATCAACAGTCCCCAGAGTTTTAATAATGCCTGAAGTTCTCACTAACAGGAATGTTACATACAGAAAGCGATTATCTTAATTGGATTTAGACAAGCAACTAACCTTGGGCTCCTTACTCCAATATATGTATATTAAGTAAGTAATATCGGGATAGATAATAATAATAATAATTAATAAGGATATACAACATTTGATATAGCGCCCTATTTAGCTAACATAAGCCACTCTAAAGCGCTTTACAGTATCCATGCGTACGATGACTTCGGGGATCGAACCCCGGGCCGCCTGCGTGGAAGGGTAATCGACCAATCCGCCCATAAAAATCATTTACGGATTATGACATTATAAAAAGTGAAAGATAGATGAATTGTAAAACCTGTAGAAACACGCCTAATACCTGGTCATTTAACCAACTCCTCGCCTCCAGAGTCCTCATGTCATCTTGTCGGAGCAGCAGTTGGGGTCGTGTAGCTCTGTTGCTCCCGCGTCGTCCCGTGCGCTGTAATCAAGTTAGCAACAATTATGGAAGATTTTCAACAAAAAATAATTTCATCAATTTATTGTAAATTCCTGTGAATTCCATTTCTTACTTCAGTGTCAATACTTGTAAAGTCTGATATATTTAATTCAGTACAACTGTTACGGGTAAACAATGTTAAGGAATTTAATAAAATGGGTAAATCTATACATTTAGCATTCAAGAAAATGTTAAATAAATTTACAAGTTATTGTACTTCCGTGTCACATGCAAAGAGTGAAAGAACCAACAATACCTGGGAGGTTTTCTTGGATGTGTCTGTCCTTTTATAAAACATCATATAGCAGCCTGTCTACAAAGCAAAAATAACTTAACAGCTGATGTACCAAAAATGTGTTACAATTGTTTCTATGACCACCCCACCTCCTCCCCTCCCCTACCCCATCCCACCCCCTCAACCCCCAGTAAAAGGGGGCCTGGACATATACTGTAGAATCATTTATTTTCGTGGGGTTAAAATTTCGTGGTTTTCATATACTAGCCTGTTTGAAGGACATTATATTTCGATGATTTCTGATTTCCCCCTATATTATCATACCAAATTTATGTTTTCGTGGGGATTAAATTTCGTGGATTTTTGTTATCCACAAAATAAACGAAATTTAACGTCCCACGAAAATTTATGATTTTACAGTAGTGTTACAATTCAAAGTCATAACTCTTCCAACATCGTTTCTAACAGCTGTTCATTTAAGTTTATACAAAGGTCCAGTATAAGAATGCCTGACAAGTTAGTATATCAGGGTCTCCAGGTTGATGCCAAGCTCAGTATTGCTACTTATAGTTAACAGTGATGTTATTTTGTCAACAGATTCATTGTTAACAAGGGCAAGGGGACATTCATGTCTTCCAGCTAAATTTTAGGTTTCTCATAAATGTAATGATAGATTTCAAAATATTGATTTACAAAATTTTGTAAGAGCAGTTAAAAAAATGGGATTTAAACTACCTGGGCTTCTGATGATTGAAGAAAGTCCTGTCCTTTCTCTGTAACTGTTTCATCATCATAACTGATCATTCCTTTGGAAGTAACACTAGCTGCAGTGTCTAAAAATTAAACAGATTTTAAATAATTGTATTTAACATTTAAAGCATGCTGCACCTTCCTGATGAACTCTTTGACAAGCAATTTGTACTCAACAAGGATACTCATTGTTAGGTGATTGGAACTCGGCTGAAAATTCCATGTAAAGTATCTGTAAAAGAAACTCAACCAAAAACTCAATATTAATTAATTGGGACTTAACTCAAAACTCCATATTGATGAATTGGGACTTACTCAAAACTCAATATTAATTAATTGGGACTTAACTCAAAACTCCATATTGATGAATTGGGACTTACTCAAAACTCCATATTAATTGATTCGGACTTACTCAAACATCACTATTAATTAATTGGGACTTAACTCATAACTCCATATTGATGAATTGGGACTTAACTCAAAACTCAATATTAATTGATTGGGACTTACTCAAAAATCAATATTAATTGATTTGGACTTACACAAAACTCCATATTGATGAATTGGGACTTAACTCAAACCTCCATATTGATGAATTGGTACTTACTCAAAAATCAATATTAATTGATTTGGACTTACTCAAAAATCAATATTAATTGATTTGGACTTACACAAAACTCCATATTGATGACTTGGGACTTACTCAAAAATCAATATTAAGTGATTTGGACTTACTCAAAAATCAATATTAATTGATTTGGACTTACACAAAACTCCATATTGATGACTTGAGACTTACTCAAAACCCCATATTGATGAATTGGGACTTAACTCAAACCTCCATATTGATGAATTGGTACTTACTCAAAAATCAATATTGATGAATTGGGACTTAACTCAAAACTCCATATTAATTGATTCGGACTTACTCATACATCACTATTAATTAATTGGGACTTAACCCAAAACTCCATATTGATGAATTGAGACTTACTCAAAACTCCATATTGATCAATCGGGACTTACTCAAAACTCCATGATTTGGACTTACTCAAAACTCCATGTTGATGAATTGGGACTTACTCATAACTCCATATTGATGAATTGGGACTTAACCCAAAACTCCATATTGATGAATTGGTACTTACTCAAAAATCAATATTGATGAATTGGGACTTAACCCAAAACTCCATATTGATGACTTGGGACTTACTCAAAAATCCATGATTGGGACTTACTCAAAAATCCATATTAATTAATTGGGACTAAACTCAAAACTCCATATTGATGAATCGGTACTTACTCAAAACTCAATATTGATGAATTGGGACTTAACTCAAACCTCCATATTGATGAATTGGTACTTACTCAAAAATCAATATTGATGAATTGGGACTTACTCAAAAATCAATATTAATTGATTTGGACTTACTCAAAACTCCATATTGATGAATCGGGACTTACTCAAAACTCAATATTAATTAATTGGGACTTAACTCAAAACTCCATATTAATTAGTTGGGACTTAACTCAAAACTCCATATTAACTAATTGGGACATACTCAAAACTTCATATTAATTAATTGGGACTTAACTCAAAACTCCATATTAACTAATTGGGACTTACTCAAAACTCCATATTAATTGATTGGGACTTACTCAAAACTCCATATTAATTAATTGGGACTTAACTCAAAACTCCATATTGATTAATTGGGACATACTCAAAACTCCATATTAACTAATTGGGACTTACTCAAAACTCCATATTAATTAATTAGAACTCAATACAAAACTTCATGTTAATTGATTTCAGACTCATAAGAAAACTCCATGTTAAATTATTGGAACTCAACAAAAAAAACTCCATTTTGATAAATTTAACTCAACACAAATTAATTGGACTCAAAAAATAACTCCATGTTAAATAGTTCGACTCAACACAAAACTCAATGTTAATTTATTGGAACTCAACTCAAAACTCAATGTTAATTAATTGGGACTCAAAAGAAAATTCTTTGTTAAATAAAACTCATTCATTAGGAAAACTATTGTTAAATATTTAAAGCTCAACATAGAACTCCATTTCAAGTAGTTGGAATGCATTAGAAAATAATTGTTAAGTAATTAAAACTCAACAGAAAATTCCATGGTTAGTAACGGAAGCTCAATAAATATATTTCCATTTTAGTAATTGCAACTCAGTCAAGAATTTTATGTAAAACAAACTGGAACATTACATATACAATCTAGCTGTACAACTACTTAACAATTTTATAAAAACTACATCAACATAGAGATTTTATAAAAAATAATTAAAGATATTATGAAAAACACACCTTTAAAATAACATAAAGATTTTATATCAAAATGTCAAACTTTTGACTTCAGATTTTATAAAAACTGATATATTTATAAAAACAACTGAAAGATTATATAAAAATTCAACTGTACAACTACTAAAAGATTAAATAAAATAGCCAAACAACTTACAGATATATATATAGAACAACTGTACAGCTACTAAAAGTCTGTATAAAAAGCTGCACATTTATAATGAGATTATTTAGAAAACATTAAAACAACATAAATTTTAACGAAATATCTGTATACCAATTTTTGATGTGAAATTCACATGAGCGTACAACTTTTTTAATAATGTTTTGAAGTTCCTTTTACACCTCTAATGGAAATGTTTTATAAAGACTGTCAAACAACTTCATATAATTGTACTCCTACTGTTGAATAATTAAATCAAGATTTTTTAAATCAATACATATATTATTATAAAACTGATGAAAAATTAAAGAATTAAAATCTGGAAAAGAGCTTGATTTAAAAAGAAATCTATCAGATTTTATGACTACGGAGGAGGCATGGTAGTCCAGTGGTAGGACGCCGGGCTCGTGATTGAAGGGTTGCGGGTTCGCGCCACGGCAGGGCAATGTGTTGTATCTTTGAGCAAGATACTTTACTCCGCTTGTTCCAGTCTACTCAGCTGTAAATGAGTACGTGGTTGGGCAGTGCTAAAATTGTTGAATGCAAGCTGTTAGCGTCGAAATGGCAGCTCCGGCTGTATGCTCCCCAGGGAGTTGAGAAAGGTATTGGCTGGTTACAAAGGCCCCATAACCACGGATAATAATTTGTGAACTGCTTTGAGACGACCTACGAACTAGGTTGTGATAAAGCGGTATATAAGAACCTCCAATTATTATTATTATAACTACAAAAAGTTTTTATTATAAAAAAAAATCTTCTCTAAACCTTTACATTGTCTTCTGCTAAACGTTCATTTCTTACGCATTTTATATCTTGAACGTGATGCCATCTATTGCTAAACATACATCTCCAATATGTGATGAAACTGTCTTTTATCTCTGAAACGTGACGCCATCTATTGCTAAACATACATCTCCTATACGTGACAATGTTTTCGTTTTTCCGTCTCTGAAACTTGATGCCATCTATTGCATGGTTCGCACAGCCTTGAAAGCACTTGAATTTAAAGAGGGGCCTTTGAAAGTCCTTGAAAACGTTTTTTGGCCTTGAAACTCCTTGAATTTAGCTAAAGGGCCTTGAAAGGCCTTGTTTATTACAAATTCAACTATTTCAAATATTTATTGCGTCTCATATAAATAACAAAATCGTTAATTTTTGCAAACTTAATGCTAAGTGTATATATACATCCGTCTGTTGATTCCACGTGGGCGAGTCATGATCATAATTACGTAGTAATCGTTGTGTATACAACAGGAAGTGGGAGGTGACTTAACTGGGCTAGGGAAGTTAAATGTGACCGTTTTAAAGCTCACTGTTCGTTGAATGGGAGAGTCAGCATTGAAAAGTCGCAAAACGTGTGAAACATCAACACGCTCAGGGTGTCATATTTAAAAACAAACATTACTTAGCATGAAAGTTGAGAAAACTGAATTGGACTGAATTGGAGGAGGATATTAACGATCTTGGAAAAAAACTTAAAGCAGTCCCAACAGGACCAACAACTGCTGTAAAAATCGGCAGATGTGTTTACCCTGAGGGTGGAGACAAGGTAATCTTACCCACTTGTCCCATTCGTAATTCTCTTCGCAAGAGTGCAAAAGAATAAGTTGAATAGTGCAAAAGCTCTACCAACTCTGAAGAGAAAGTAAATGCTCTAAAGGACTGTTGATCTAGAGAACACAAACGAAAGCATTATTAAAACATCTGAATTTATATATTTGTTATGTTGTCTGTAGTCATAGACTGAAGATTCAAATTTTGTATATACAAGGACCTAATATTTTATTTAAGAATTGCCTTGAAAAGTCCTTGAAAAGTCCTTGAATTTTGTTTGAAAAAGTTTGTATGAACCATGTAAAATTGCTAAACGTTCATTTCATATACATTTTTTATGATGAAAATTTCTCTATTTCATCATACCATCTATTGCTAAACATTCATTCCCTGTACGTGATAAATCTTCCTTTTGAAACGGTCTGTTGAACTTGCACCATCCTTTCCACATTCCCTGTCAAATCTGTCCTGTCTCTCTTATTTGATGCCATCATTTTATAGAATATTATAAAGCATTATTATTTTTATTCTGTTTTATGAAAAAAATAAAAATAAAAAATAAAAAACTCACAGTGTCCACCATATACAGATTTCCCATGATGCAACTGTAAAAAAGTGCATCCGATATCTTTTAGTAATAAGTATTAGTAGCTGGAGACCTAGCAACGTTTGTTTTGTCTCTTACATTAAAAGAATTAAAATGAACTTTTTAGAAAAATTAAAAATAATTCATATGGTATGCTCATAATAAACTGCCCATATTTTCAAAGGTAAAAGTTTAACTGTTTTGAAGTGTAGTAAGGATTTCAAAATTATCATTAACTGATCTATGAGTAAAGAGAAACATAAAGGTTTTGATATTGATATCATATCCAGTAATGCTGACATTTTGATTCTTGTAAAGCCAAGTTGTATACCTGAATTGATTGGAGATCATAATCACAGGTGTTGTTCGCCATAGTTCTCAAACTGATCTCTCTACAAGGTAAAAAATAGGGTCCAATAACCGTGTTCCAATCAGTTATTATCAGATGTACAAATAAAGGGGTCAAGGAGAGATAACTGTTCCAACCAGTTATTATCAGATGTACAAATAAAGGAGTGAAGGGGAGATAACTGTGTATCAACCAGATTTTGTCAGATGTACAAATAAAGGGGTCAAGGGGAGATAACTGTTCCAACCAGTTATTGACAAATGTATAAATAAATGGGTGAAGGGGAGATAACTGTGTTCAAATCAGTTATTGTCAGACGTAAAAAAAAGGGTGAAGGGGAGATAACTGTTCCAAACAGTTATTGTCAAATGTACAAATAAAGGGGTCAAGGGGAGATAACTGTGTTCCAACCAGTTATTGTCAAATTAACAAATAAATGAGGGAAGAGGAGTTAACTGTGTTCCAACCAGTTATTGTCAGATGTGCAAATAAAGGGGTGAAGGGTAGATAACTGTGTTCCAACCAGTTATTGTCAAATGTAAGGTGAAGGGGAGATAACTGTGTTTCAACCAGTTATTGTCATATGTACAAATAAATGGGTGAAGGGGAGTTAACTATGTTCAAATCAGTTATTGTCAGATGTAAAAATAAAGGGGTGAAGGGGAGATAACTGTGTTCCAACCAGTTATTGTCAAATGTAAAATAAAAGGGGTGAAGGGGAGATAACTGTGTTCGAACTAGTTATTGTCAGATGTACAAATAAAGGGTTGAAAAGGAGTTAACTGTGTTCCAACCAGTTATTGTCAGATGTACAAATAAAGGGGTCATGGGGAGATAACTGTTCCAACCAGTTATTGTCAAATGAACAAATAAATGGGTGAAGGGGAGTTAACTGTGTTCAAATCAGTTATTGTCAGATGTAAAAATAAAAGGGGTGAAGAGGAGATAACTGTGTTCCAATGAGTTATTGTCAGATGTACAAATAAAGGGGCGAAGGGGAGATGTGTTCCAACCAGTTATTGTCAAGTTTACAAATAAATGGGTGAAGAGGAGATAACTGTTCAAATCAGTTATTGTCAGATGTACAAATAAAGGGGTGAAGGGTAGATAACTGTGTTCCAACCAGTTATTGTCAAATGTACAAATAAAGGGGTGAAGGGGAGATAACTGTGTTCCAACCAGTTATTTTCAAATGTACAAATAAAGGGGTGAAGGGGAGATAACTGTGTTCAAATCAGTTATTGTCAGATGTAAAAAAAAAAGGGTGAAGGGGAGATAACTGTTCCAAACAGTTATTGTCAAATGTACAAATAAATGGGTGAGGGGGAGATAATTGTGTTCCATCCAGTTATTGTCAAATGTACAAATAAAGGGGTGAGGGGGGAGATAATTGTGTTCCAACCAGTTATTGTCAAATGTTCAAATAAATGGGTGAAGGGGAGATAATTGTGTTCAAATCAGTTATTGTGAGATGTACAGATAAAGGGGTCAAGGGGAAACAACTATAACTGTGTTCCAACCCGTTCTTGTCAGATGTACAGATAAAGTGATAAGAGGAGATAACTGTTTCAACCAGTTATTATCAGATGTAGAAATAAAGGGGTGAAGGGGAGATAACTGTGTTCCAACCAGTTATTTTTAGATTTAAAAATAAAGGGGTCACGGGGAGATAACTGTGTTCCAACAAGTACTGATGTACGAACAAGTAAATTTTATAACAAAAAAACCAAATCAATTAACACTTTTCTTTTAAAACTGTTTCAGAAAGAGTCTGTATTTCAGGGTTTCAAGGTCATGGTCAATTTATTATTTCAAGAAATTTGTCAAATAATGACACAAATGTACTTTGGAGCCCCAGCATTCCTGTCTTACAGACATTCACCAATTCTTTCAGTGGACTAAATTGATTTTCAAGTGAATGTGTGGAATTTGAAAAGAGGTACTTTTCTATTGTCACAGAAGCTAGATGTTTGCGAGGGGACTCTGTAAATCGCTTGAGAATGATGACCAGCACATCTGAAGCCTCTAGAACTGACCGCTTCTGATGGTGGTTTGTGAGTGCTTGACATTTCGGACATCGCCTGAAAAAAATGTTCCACATTTAACAACATGGAAAAGACCGTTAATATTGTAAATAGCAATTTTCATTCTAAATTTCAATATTTTCAGCCTTCTGGCCTTTGTCAAGGGCAATAGTCAACGACAAATTCAAGTTATATCCTTGCTTCTTTGGAAGAGTGACAATTGCTATATCATTTATCTTTTTTCCCTATGGAAATCAACTATTGTTTATTACATTGTTAAGAGTACTACATTCGTAAGAGTGTGACAGTGCCTAGGGTCACCCGAAGGTATCACTTGTCACCCAAAAGTCAACATGGCAGCTGAGACCAACCGTACTCGCATCTTTGCCTGGTCACTATTTGCATTGTTGCACATTGCTAGGTCGTTGAAAAAAACCCTCATTTGATTCAATATTAAACATACCGGTATGTGACAGTGAAACATGAACAATTTGTCTCGACCAGTCAGATTACAAGATTTTCACTAGATTTAAAATGGTACAAATTATGTCTCTTACCAGCCCTCCTTATTATTACAATGTATAATAATCATATAATTTAGTTATAGCTCTGGTAAGCTAGATTGATAGTCAGTATTGAATTTGTATAATGATATTAAAATACTACTGACTGTTGTATGCCCGGTGTTGTCGGTTTGAAGTAGTCATTGATACACATCTGTATTGATGGAGCGGTCAGATTCACCATTAGGGTAGAAACCTTCTCCGGCACAGGGGAATCGGTCTGAGAAATCAAAGGAACAAAATATCATTTAGATAAATCTTAAGTTTGATGTAAATAAATTCAATGTTGTTGACAGAAAATTTCAATACCCTCTTTCATCTGACCTTATATAGTCCTTTTAATCTGTAAAACATTTTCCCCAATCAAAGTGGCTTATTTCGGCTCAATACCGTTTAACTTTTATTAACTGATTAACTTTAAACTTCACAACACTAAACGCTGTACAAATTCAATATTCACTATGATTCAAGTGTAAATAATCAAGTTATGGCCCTTTGGTGATGAGTTATTTGGAGTTATAGCCCCTTGGTGGTGTATAATATGAGGATTTTAAAAAGGACATAATACTTACAGTGCTACATAACAGACATTCCAGCTCCTTCTGTATACATATCGGTTGGAATAGGTCAGCCTTGTGCATTCTCTGCAGGAAGTAATGTAAGAATCTGACAGGGTTACTTTCTTCACCAAACTCCATATTGCTAAACTCGGGTGATGTCTGTAGTTCCCTCTGTAAAGGATGGTATTGAGCATTGGTACAGTGTTACTCTGTTTTAAGGATTTCTTGAATGCTATGCAGGTTCAAAATACTCTTCAGATATGGAATTGGAAAAGAGTAGGTACAGCTTGTAATAAAATGTTAACTGGCTGTACAATCTGGTTGTCTGTAGGCTTGGACAGTGTTAGTTATACTCACAATTAATTCCACTGGATTTACTGTTGAAGTGTCAGTCAGCTGAGTCAGCTTCTTCAGAAACTGGTTAAGTTCTTTGTTGCTGCTCTCTATAAGGAAATGAAGTAAATATAGATAGAGTGTATATATCCTGATATGCACATGGACTAAAATTGATTTATTGCCATTATAATATTTTGAACTGTCTTGTGCAGTGCTGGATAGCTATAGACTATTTGCTCACAGTAACCTTCTATATATTGAGGCCGGCAGCCAATCTTGAACTATGTATTTGTACAATAATCCTACCTCCTATGGGGGTAGGCAGCCACCCTTTAACTTAATATTTGTACATTAAACCTACCTCCTATGGGGGTAGACAGCCACCCTATAGTTACGTATTTGTACAATAAACCAACCTCCTCTGGGGGTTGGAAGCCACCCTATAACTATGTATTTGTACAATAAACCTACCTCCTATGGGGGTAGGCAGCCACCCTATAACTATGTATTTGTACAATAAACCTCCATCCTATTGGGGTAGGCAGCCACCCTTTAACTTTATATTTGTACAATAAACCTACCTCCTATGGGGGTAGGCAGCCACCATATAACTATGTATTTGTACAATAAACCTCCATCCTATTGGGGTAGGCAGCCACCCTTTAACTTTATATTTGTACAATAAACCTACCTCATATGGGGGTAGACAGCCACCCTATAGTTACGTATTTGTACAATAAGCCTACCTCCTATGGGGGTAGACAGCCACCCTATAACTATGTATTTGTACAATAAACCTACCTCCTCTCGGGGTTGGAAGCCACCCTATAGTTACGTATTTGTACAATAAACCTCCATCCTATTGGGGTAGACAGCCACCCTATAGTTACATATTTGTACAATAAACCAACCTCATATGGGGGTAGGCAGCCACCCTTTAACTTTATATTTGTACAATAAGCCTACCTCCTATGGGGGTAGGAAGCCACCCTTTCATTGCCTGTAATAGAGAGTTTATCCAGCTATCGTTGGTTTTACTTTCTATCCTGTGGCTGTTAACAAAATCTGCATTGCCTCCTTGTCGTAAAGACAAGCGAGATCTTTTTTGTCCTCGCTTTGGCTTTTTGTCCTCTCCTGCATCAGGTGTAGGCCCAGGTATTTGTTTTGGTGGGGTGTAAAACTTGCTTGTTTTTGATTTTGTCACCGGTCTCCATTGTTCCTGAGACATCTCTATGTGATCCTGCCTGACGGTTTCGGATTCTACCGTGACCTGATTCAGGTCAGGTAATATCTTTGATTCCATACTGCTTTGGTATTCTCTGGAGCGTCCCCGAATGTTCTTATGAAGTTCTCTAAGGACTGGTCCAGGTCGCTGGCGCTGCTTTTTATTCAAAATGTCCTGTTTTACAATTCGGAACCAGTTTTCTACACAACAATTTGTGTCCCGTGTGACAGGCTTCCCATTGTTATGATTTTCATTTGTCAGCAGCAGCCCACTCCACAAAGGGTAGAGGTGGAGGTAGGATTCTAGCACTGTCAGAGCTTGCTTGTTATGATATTTGTTCTTTACTTTTAAGCTGTATCCTGCATCAGGTGGGATATTGCTTTTCATGCTGGCGAAGAACTTGGTAAAGGGAGACAACGCTTTGATTGTTGATGTCGATTTTTCTTGTTGAAAGTCACACTCCACTTCCTGTGGGCATAAATGTACTGAAGTTTCCCTCTCTTCTGTCTGCTCCGCGATCTGCTTCTCAATTTTGGCAATGGCATCCTTCACTGATTTTGTTTCATATTCTGATCCAAGAACAGTGCATAATGAGACATAAATTGATTTGGCTTGTCCCAGTTCAAAGGAATTTTGTAGCAGAGCAAAGGCGAATGCACAAAAGTCAGCGAGACCTTTGTCTGAGGTCGTATGACTTAGTCGATCCCGCACTCGTTTGATCAGGTGAGCGGAACACAAATGGATCTTTGTAAATTTGGTATCTTTCTTTGGTTCTGTCGCTATTTCCCATGCACGGGAGAGATAGGCAGTGATGTTTTCCTGGTTACAGACGACTAGTACAGAGTTAATGAGTGACCAAGAGAAGTCCACTTCAATCCTTCTTGGCTGGACAATGGGCCACGAGGAACCAAAGGCCATAAGCTCCTGCTTCAACTTCCCCAGGAACAGCGATGTGATTGCTGTTGTGTGCTCGTTGCTAAACATTTCTGCAATTGGCATTGATGGTTCGTTTGGTTTGTTGTTTTTCACCACAGCAGCGTAGTAATACACAGGTTTATCAGAACCTGACTGTTTTTTCACCAATGACCCAGTGGCATCTAAATAAAGCACACCTCTGCCCAACTTTTTCTGATTCCTGAAGATCTGAAGCTGTCTCTCAGTGAAGCTGATAGTGATGAAGGGCTGATAGGACAGAAATTGGATGTAGCCTGGCATACTCTTGCTGTCCTGGTCTAAGTCTTGTAGGATCTGTCTGGTCATTACGACTTCTGTCCATTCGTCCGTGTGGAGATACTCCTTTTTCTTCATTTCGTATTTGGCTTGTCGTAACACAGCCTTGTTGGAGGGGATAGTGTGATTCCCCCCAGCATGCTGAGACTCACGGAGATCAGCAAGCAATTTGTAATGAAGATTAGAGGCTCCCTCCCTCTGGAGTTGCTGCTTGTATAGTTCTCGTCTCTCTCCACGGAGTTGTCTCCTCTTGGTTTGGTGGCGTGGATGTTTAACCTCGCCATGTCTTGTAACCTTGATTGTCACTCCATTCTTTGAAACCTTCGCTGGTTTTTCTGCTATCTCAAATGTATACCATGTGCATGTTTCAAACTTACACTTGGCTTTCCCGTGGAAATACCTGGCATTGAATTTCCTGCTGTCAAGTCTTTTTATCCGGTTGTAGAAAAACTGAAGTACACAGGGTACATCAATATTTGCCATTTTCTCAGAGAAAAGGTCTGTCCAGGAGGAGCGTAGTTTTCGATATGCGTCATTTTTCTTTGGTTTAATTGTCTTCCATTCTGACTTATTTAGCATTATGGTAAAGGATGCAGGGTATTCATTCTTGGTTTCAATATTTTCTTCTGGAGTTCCTTTGGCACTGGAATTAAGGTATGCTCTTTTCTTGGCTGTTTCATAGGATAACTCACTTGAAACATCCTCTAAATCACTGTTTGATTTTTTTCGCTTGATAGGAAGTTCATTTGAAAGTTCTTCTAAATCTTGGGTGGAATGTTCCTGTGTGAAGGAAAATTCATCTGAAAATTCTTCCAAATCTTCGGTGGAATGCTCTGAATTGAATGATGCTTCACTTGACAGATCATCTAGATGTTTGGTAGTGTGCGGTAAGCTGTCACGCGCTGTTGACATAAAGTTGGTATTTTCGTTTGAAGTACCATTGTTCTGTTCATGGTCCATTTTGTTTAGGTCAGACTGGTCGACCTCTGATGACCAAAAGATGCTCCATTCATCTATGACATCATTTTGATCGTCAGCCTCCTCTGATTTTATACTTTTGTCTGACATGTTGTCGAGGTCGTCGCTCATGCTATCTGTGGAATGGTTGTCTGGGTACTCCATGTTTGTTTCCCGCACACCGTGTTGGTCTGTGGAGGAAATAGAAGATCTGTTTTTGGTTTTGTGTGTTGTTAGTGGTGTACATTTGTTGATAGGTTTGTCGCCAAAGTCTGGTGATTTGATTATTTCAGATGATGTTGCCTCATTTCCGAAATCATAACTCTTGGATTCTGTAGCGTTTTCTCTGTGGGAAGAGAATGTAGGGCTCCTGTCTGCTGCTGTACCTGCCTCTACTGGGCACACAGTGTGATCATTCGTTTTCGGATTTCTTTTAACCTTTTTCGCCAAAACAAATTCATTTGGATCGAATCTCTTCGGTCGTGTCACTTTCCGTTTTTTCGATGGCATGGTTTTTGCAGCTGACGACACCTTGTGGCTGTTAACGTGTGTGTTTTCAATATTGACGTCTCTACATAGAGCCCTTAGTTTTCTGTAATCCTCAATATCATTACAGCGTCCTTGTGTTTCCAATGACAACCGTAATTTGTTCTGATCAATGAATGAACTTGCTGGTTTCCTTGACCCTGTTTCAACTCTGGTTAAATTCATCTAATCCTATAAGTCTCTTCTCCTTTCTGTAAAGATATAAAACAGTATCTAAGTAAGATTATTTTCTCAACAATTTCTGTAGAATATATCATGTGTTTATACATCTGAGCATTCTATAAAAGGGAGCATACACATATTATATACAGGGTGAGCATTTTTAGGTCACCTGAGCTTTAGCTCAAGTGACCTATTGCTATCCGTCTTCGTCCGTCGTCGTCCATCATCCGTCGTCCGTTAACATTTTACATTTCAAACTTAAAGTCAAGTTCTGCTGGGCCGATTGAACTGAAAGTTAGTAGGAATGATCAACTTATGGTCCTGACAAAGTGTTGTTATTTTTCGGGTCAATCAGAAATCCAATATGGCCACCACGACCGCCATTTTGAAAAACTATTTCAAACTTAAAGTAAAGTTCTACTTGGCCGATTGAACTGAAACTTTGTAGGAATGATCGAATCATGGTCCTGACAAAGTGTTGTTATTTTTCGGGTCAATCAGAAATACAATTTGGCTGCCATTATACTTAACTATTTTTTACTCAAATTGGTACATATTTCAACATCAAAAATAAATACTGTAGGACTCAGGTGACCGTTAAGGCCCATGGGCCTCTTGTTTGGAGTAAGTATGACAGATTTGTTCTAAAGGTCAACTACAGTTGTAAGTTTCAGTTGTTTCTAATGTGACATCATGCCTAGGACAACAAGTACATGACTTTACAGACTTATGCACTGGAGTCAAAATGACAGCTTTTAACATTTCAAGCTTGCATGAAAATTGTCGTTTTACATGAATCAATATTACGAATACACTCGTTTTCATTTCTAATGAGCCAGAGGCTCGCTAAATTGAAAAATTCTTAGACTCGTTTCATAAATCTCATATGAAATGGAAACTCATGTAAGATCCTATATATACGTAGACCAGTATAAAATCTCCCGTAAATCTGAGGTGAAAAACTTTTTACTGGCCTCTATATTGGATCAGACTTGGTACCCCTAAATGAGACATTCCTGGCGGACTGGCTCATTCTAGCAGAACGTCACATCCCATTTCGCGAATCACATCGATTATACCAGCACAACTGGAACGTTGTGCTATGTGGAACAGGCTACAGGTTTCCAAAACTGTATTGGTACGGACTAATTTCTGTCCTCTGTGATGACGGCTTGCCTAGCAGGTAAAGTCGAGTCAGTACCAGTGTAGTTAGGAAAACCTCAGGAGTTGCTTTTCTTCTTGCACAAGTTTGCTTTATATTAAGATGGCTTCTGTATACCACTAGGTATTTTCCTGATAAACATTCCTCAACACTTATTGGAGGTTGGTTCTTTACACCTGATTTCTATTTATATAACATGTAACGTGTAGATATCTGTATCAATCTAAATGGCTCTTTGTTTTATAGGTATGGAAACAGGGGCCATAACCAGCCCTGTAAATATGACCACCCGAGAGCGACAAGGTGTTTCATCACCACACAGAACCATGGATTTGCCGTCGACGAATCCACTCTGGCTCCGGACTGGTCCACTCTCTTCACTAATGCCAATGATAAAACAAACGAAGGCATCGTACACAACACCCAGCCGTTCTTCAGGTAAATTGGTATAGTTGACAACGAGGCTGTTAACAAGATGGAAAGGTGATTGAGAGCCTTGAACCATACCTGCCAACATTTCAATATTTCCATGGGGGTAGATTCTGCATGCTCAAAAGCAGAAACATTTACAAGCATGTGTATATATACCCCCTGGGGAAGAAATAGCACTTTAAATTCACATCATTGGATCTCTAAACAAGGAATAATTAAGCAAATTCACTGGTTGAAAATATTAAAATTAGGGGTCTGTAAAATTGGGAGTCTCCGTCCAAAATTGGGAGAGTTGGCAAGTATGAGTCAATCTTCCTTATTGTTGACAATTTTATTGTCAATGATATCAAGTATTTGTGAAATGTTGATCACATATCCTTGCCCTTTAAAATATCAATTGTACATAATATATATTTTGCAGATAAAAACAATTAAGAACAAATGATTGGGTTCATTCTGTAAAATAATATCCCATAAATATCATGTTTATAGGTCACCTTAAACAAATACACGGGACAATGATTTCAAACGTGCTTATTGAAGATGTTTTATTTGTCGTCAAACCAAAGATTTTGTCAGGGTATAATATGATATCCATTAGGGAATGCATATGGATATGCCTGTCCATCCACAGTTTGGTTTCTGCAAGAAAACTTGCTTAAATATCATTCTATCCTTCCATTTTGATGAAACTTGGTAAGTATATAAGGTTAAGTTCTAAGTTGAGAAAATCCATGCATAATGTATCGGCGTAGTGCCTTCTGATTTGTCGACAGCTTTCGCACATTTACTTGGTCAAATGTGATCTGAGTCAGATAAAACTTTGTCAGTATTTATATTTTGCAACAGTTAAGGCCATGTTTGAAGCTGAGCAAAATCAGCACATAATTGATAAGTATGCTGAGCTCTGATTGGTCAGAAACTTCCACACAATAACTAACTGACATGTGATTGTATTTTGATGAACTTATAAGTCAATATTTACACTATTAGTCAACAATATTGTTTTGATGGTTTCAGATGAATTGATTATTGACAAAGGGGGCAGGCAATACCTATTTCTTTTTTAAGGTTTGAAATATGGGCAAAGGGAGGTAATGCCTGTACAAATAAATATTTCCAAAAAAATAATGTTTTTCCCTTTCACCTCATCCCAGAAATCTTTCAATAGAAGAATACAATATTAATATAGTGACTTCTTCTTATATTTAAATATGTCACGTTGGGATGGGAAGGGCCTATATTGTTCTGCCTTTGCTGTAATGTTCAGATTATCAATTAAAGATTTCAATCCCTCAGCTCTCCCAGAGAGATATTTCGAAAAGGTAAGTCCTCTGAATATTTGTGTCCAGCCCTCCAGAAGGATCTGATTCACTAGTTGGTCTACAAGCAGTTTTCTGTCTATTTTTTTCAGTACGCAGTTTCATCCAGAACACATGGGAGGACCTCAGGATCTTGATATTCTGTTCACGGTTTTCCTTGACCAAGTCCGCAACCACAAACAAGGAGTCTTTAGGCAAGTGTATTTCACAGTAACTTACTCTTTTCATCATATTACTGTCTAGATACTGAAAGTGTTGGTTTTCCCTCAATAGTCAGTAGACTAACACAGAGTAGGCTATCTAGCCGGTGTCATTGAGTGCTCAGCAGTGTGCATAGGCATAAAAATATAAAATTAGTGTATGAAGCATCACTGTACTTTATTGAAGTATGTACCTATTCCCATCCCCATAGGGAGGGTAACAGGATTTTAACCTTATATTGTTTAAACAATGCCTAGGACAAGGCAATTTAGTATTGTTACATCTCATGACCCCAAGGCTCAAGTGACCTTCATTTTACAACAGCAAGATCAAATATGTTAAAATTAATTTAAATGTTTAAATGACTTCTCAAATTTGACCAAGCTTAGGGTCATGATTTGGACCTATGAACCAGTGGGTAGATGTGATGAAGTGTTCAAAATAAATGACCTTGACCTTCATTCGAAATTGCAGGGTTCAAATTTGTTAAAATGTTCAGACACCTTCTGAAGTACCAAAAGGCCTAGAACTATGATATGTGACCATGAGCTTGCTGGTATTGAAGTTTATAGACTCTGGACAAAGAAATAAAATTGACCTATATATTCCAAAACATAGGTATCAAATCTTTTAAAAATACTCCGATGACTTTTACTGAATATTCAAGAGGCTTAATATAAAGTCATGAAATATGTAAGCATGTTGCCATGGAGTACTACAAAGTATTGAAAGGAATTGACCTTCACCAACATTCAAGGTCACAAGAGTCAGATCTGTGATATCATATATACAGGTTCTATAGAAACAAGACACATATAATTTACTTCAACAGATTTGTAAAGAAATTAATTTGGTTCGTATTCAAGGTCACAAGGTCGAAATTTGTTAAACACTCAAATGGCGTTTTTCTGAAAAACAAACTTGGAAACAGTCTTAATATATTGCCAGTACTATGCCTACATGTACTGCTACAATGTTTTGGGGAAAAGATGACCTTCACTTATATTTAAAGCCACATGGTTCAAATCTATTAAAACACTGGAACAGCTTATTCCAAAGAATTAAAAGGCCTGGAGTCCTGATGTAAAGCAGCTGGTAGCTTGCTCGCATTGTGTCTTACAGATTTGGGGAAAAGAATTGTCCTTGACATATATATACTCAAAGTCACAGGTGTCAAATCTTTTAAACACTCAAATGGCATCATTTGTAGAACCAGAAAGAAGTCATGTTGTCAGAAATAAAATGTAAGTCTTCACAGTTGGTTGATAAGTTTTCAACTGGAAAAACTGGAAAATGGGTTTCAATAAGCTAAATGGGAAACAGATTTGAAATGCAATAAAGATGTGAAAGTAAAAAAAAATAGGCTTTCATTACTAAATTGCTCTAGCAACTTCATTTCCCAATGGAGTTTCATGAAACTTTGTACAGGTGTTTGGTATGGCAATGCCTTGAACAAAGTCGAGTTTTGAGTTTCTACGTTGAAGGCCAAGGTCTCTTACTATTGTTAGAAAAAAAATTGTCATCCCTCTAGCAACTTCATTTTTGAATGGAATTTCATGAAACTTGTACAGGTGTTTGGTTTGGCAATACCTTGAATGAATTCATGTTTCAGGTTTCTATGTTGAAGGTCAAGGTGACTTACTATTTTCAGAAAAATATTGTCATCGCCTAACCGACTTCATTCCATAACGGAATTTCATGAAACTTAATACAAGTATTCGGTATGACAATAACTTGAATAAGTTTGTGTTTCAGATTACTGCGTTAAAGGTCAAGGTCACTTTAACTATTATTAGAAAAACTCTGTCATCGCTATATTGACTTCATTCCTGGTGACTGCATTAAATGTCAAGGTCACTTTTACTATTTTTATAAAATCTTTGTCGTCGCTCTATCAACTTCATTCCTCAACAGAATTAAAATCTATTCTACATGTATACTGGGGAATTTACACCCTGTCAAATATTTCCCCTACATCGGTTAATTTATTATGCTTCATCCTTTACGTGTTAGTGTATATATGGTATGCTGTGTACTATATTCATGGTTGTGATGCATTCGCCCACATTGCTGAGGGTGCAAAGGGCGAAAATTAAAATGTGGCAAAAATTTCTAGATACACAGTATATTAATTGTTAACAGACAGGAATTAATCAAAAATGTTATTTACCCTAAAATGTTACCTAAATTACCCTAAATGTTACTAACCATAAATTTTACTTAACTAACTCTAAATGATACGTATCTAACCATAAATATTACTTACCATAGAATTAATGATAAATGTTTCCTGACTTACCATAAATGTTACTTACCATAGAATAAATGATAAATGTTGCGTGACTTACCAAAAATATTACTTACCATAGAATTAATGATCAATGTTACCTGACTTACCAAAAATATTACTTACTATAGAATTAATGATAAATGTTACCTGACTAACCATTAATGTTACTTACCATAGAATTAATGATAAATGTTGCGTGACTTACCATAAATGTTACTTACCATAGAATTAATGATAAATGTTGCGTGACTTATCATAAATGTTACTTACCATATTATTAATGATAAATGTTACTTAACTTCCCATAAATGTTACTTACAATAGAATTTATGATAAATATTGCGTGACTAACCATAAATGTTACTTACCATAGAATTAATGGTAAGTGTTACGTGACTCACCCTAAATATTACTTACCATATAATCAATGATAAATGTTACTTAACTTGCCATAAATGTTACTTCTATAAATGTAACTTACACAAAATGTTACTGACTATACAGTCATGTTACTTGCCATCACTTACCATAGGAATAAATGATAAATTTTACTTACCATTACCCTAAATGTTTCTTAACTTACCTTAAATGTTACTAACTATAGATGTTACCAAAGGATTCATAATAAATGTTACTTACCAATTATATTACTTAACTTACCATAAATGTTACTTGACTTACCAGAAATGTTACTTCACTAACTCTAAATGGTACTTACCCTAAATGTTACTTAACTTATCCCCAATGTTACGAACTATAAATGTAGCATACCATAGGATTTATGGTCAATGTTGCATGACTAACCGTAAATGTTACTTACCATATAATTAGGGCCCGTATCGGAGATACGGGTGCCCTATAGTAATCACTCTGTCTGTCTGTCTGTCCGTCCACAAATTTTGTTCCTGGCTGATAACTTTGGTATTTATTGACCGATGTATATGAAATTTAGTCAAGATGTTCAGTTCACAAAAATACACATTAAGGTAAAAAGTCAAGGTCAAAGAACAAGGTCATTAGGTTTAAATGTCAAGGTCAAATTTTGCATCTTTTCACTGATGAACATTTTGTTATGACATGATGAAGCAAAGTTGATCAGAATTGAACAAGGGGTCAACCTGACCAAATGTCAAGGTCATTGGGTCAAAGGTCAAGGTTAAATTTTGTATCTTTTCACTGGTGAACATTTTGGTATGAGACTTAGAGGCAATGATGCTCAGAATTAAACAAGGAGTCAACTGACCAAAGGTCAAGGTCACTTTGTCAAAGGTCACGGTCAAATTTTGTATCTTTTCCCTGATGAACATTTTGTTATGACTTTATGAAGCAAAGTTGGTTGGAATTTAACAAAGAGTCAACTGACTTAAGGTCAAGGTCACTCGGTCAAAGGTCAAGGTAAAATTTAGTAGCCTTTCACTAATGAGCATTTTATGACATGAAGCAAAGTTGTTTGGATTAAACAAAGAGACACACTGAGGTAAAAAGTTGAGGTCAAAGGTTAAGGTCATTAGATTCAAAGGTCAAGGTTCAATTTTGTATCTTTTCACTGGTGAACTTTTTGTTTTGACATGATGAAGCAAAGTTGATCAGAATTAAACAAGGTGTCAACCTGACCAAATGTCAAGGTCATTGGGTCAAAGGTCAAGGTTAAATTTTATATCTTTTCACTGGTGAACATTTTGGTATGACACTTTGAAGCAATGTGGCTCAGAAATAAACAAGGAGTCAATTGACCAAAGGTCAAGGTCACTTTGTCAAAGGTCACGGTCAAATTTTGTATCTTTTCCTTGATGAACATTTTGTTATGACTTTATGAAGCAAAGTTGGTCGGAATTTAACAAAGAGTCAACTGACTTAAGGTCAAGGTCACGGTAAAATTTTGTATTTTTTTGCTGGTGAATATTTCATTATGACACTTTGAAGCAATGTTTGTGGGAATTAAACAACGCGTCATTCTTGATTATGGAGGATATATTGCCACAAGACGGGGCCCTTACTGACCTGTCAGTGTTTTAGTTAATGATTAATGTTACGTGAATAACCATAAATGTTACGTAACTTACCCTAAAGGTTACTTAGCTTATCCCCAATGTTACGAACTATAAATGTAACATACCATAGGATTTATGATAAATGTTAGTTAGCATTAATATTACTTAACTTACCCAAAATGTTACTAGACTTACCATAAATATTACTTGACTTACCAGAAATGTTACTTAACTAACTCTAAATGTTACTTACCCTTAATGTTACTTTACTTATCCTAAATGTTACCAACTATAAATGTAACATACCATAGGATTTATGATAAATGTTAGTTAGCATTAATATTACTTCACTTCCCCAAAATGTTACTAGACTTACCATAAATATTAGTTGACTTACCAGAAATGTTACTTAACTAACTCTAAATTTTACTTTCCCTTAATGTTACTTTACTTATCCTAAATGTTACCAACTATAAATTTAAAGTACCTTTTACTTAACTGTTACTTAACTTACTAAAAATGTTACTTAACTAACTGTAAATGTTTCTTACCCTTAATGTTACTTTACATATCCTAAATGTTACAAACTATAAATGTAACATACCTTTTGCTTAACTTTTACTTAACTTACTAAAAATGTTACTTAACTAACTGTAAATGTTTCTTACCCTTAATGTTACTTTACATATCCTAAATGTTACCAACTATAAAAGTAACATACCTTTTACTTAACTTACTAAAAATGATACTTAACTAACTGTAAATGTGACTTACCCTTAATGTTACTTTACTTATCCTAAATGTTACCACCTATAAATGTAACATACCTTTTAATTAACTTTTACTTAACTTACTAAAAATGTTACTTAACTAACTGTAAATGTTTCTTACCCTTAATGTTACTTTACATATCATAAATGTTACCAACTATAAATGTAACATACCATATGATTTATGATAAATGTTACTTACCATTAATATTACTTAACTTACCAGAAATGTTACTTAACTGTAAATGTTACTTACCCTTAATGTTACTTTACTTATCCTAAATGTTACCAACTATAAATTTAAAGTACCTTTTACTTAACTGTTACTTAACTTACTAAAAATGTTACTTAACTAACTGTAAATGTGACTTACCCTTAATGTTACTTTACTTATCCTAAATGTTACCAACTATAAATTTAAAGTACCTTTTACTTAACTGTTACTTAACTTACTAAAAATGTTACTTAACTAACTGTAAATGTGACTTTCCCTTAATGTTACTTTACTTATCCTAAATGTTACCAACTATAAATTTAAAGTACCTTTTACTTAACTGTTACTTAACTTACTAAAAATGTTACTTAACTAACTCTAAATGTTACTTACCCTTAATGTTACTTTACTTATCCTAAATGTTACCAACTATAAATGTAACATACCTTTTACTTAACTTTTACTTAACTTACTAAAAATGTTACTTAACTAACTGTAAATGTTACTTACCCTTAATGTTACTTTACTTATCCTAAATGTTACCAACTATAAATGTAACATACCTTTTACTTAACTTACTTAAAATGTTACTTAACTAACTCTAAAAGTTACTTACCCTTAATGTTACTTTACTTATCCTAAATGTTACCAACTATAAATGTAACATACCTTTTACTTAACTTTTACTTAACTTACTAAAAATGTTACTTAACTAACTCTAAATGTTACTTACCCTTAATGTTACTTTACTTATCCTAAATGTTACCAACTATAAATGTAACATACCTTTTACTTAACTTTTACTTAACTTACTAAAAATGTTACTTAACTAACTGTAAATGTTTCTTACCCTTAATGTTACTTTACTTATCCTAAATGTTACCAACTATAAATGTAACATACCTTTTACTTAACTTTTACTTAACTTACTAAAAATGTTACTTAACTAACTGTAAATGTTTCTTACCCTTAATGTTACTTTACTTATCCTAAATGTTACCAACTATAAATGTAACATACCTTTTACTTAACTTTTACTTAACTTCCTAAAAATGTTACTTAACTAACTCTAGATGGTACTTACCATACATGCTACTAGCCATAAAAGGTTTTATAAGCATAACTTGAAGTAATCAATTAATCAATCACTTTTTCATGAGAACTTGATGTGTGTATTCCATGAGTTTACTCCATTAGCTGGGTAACCATACACCACACTGAACTGTTTTACGGACGTTGCGACAGTGTACATGTACTTAAAGTGTATAAAACCTTCAAGTGTATAAAACCTAGAAATTATTTATTTTATTATATGAACTATGTACTTCTGTTATATAATTTTGTGGCAGGTATTATTTGTGTATTTAAAAGAACATTAGCATTGTGCATGTCCTACACAGAATTATTAGATAAAAGGATCTGACAACTAATACGGTCCCTATAGTAGATGACCAGTGAACCAGTTATATCCCTTTGTAATTTATTGACACAATTCCAGGAATGAGGTAATATAATTACTTAGTGGAATTTTTCAGTGTGATATTCTGCTTGATTACATGTACATACATATTTGCGAAAAGTCCCAAACAGGTCTGTATGATGTAATGCTTACTTTTGTGTTCATTATAAAGATAATTACATTCATACTGCTGTCAATATGTGTCTGGACTAGCTACCTTACTACTGTTCAGAACTTGTCAGTGTAGGTAAATAGAATGATTACACAGTATAAGTGGAATTTTTTTGCCAAGTAGAATTGCTCGCATTTTTTCTTTGACTAAATTAGCAGGAAAACATCTTCTACACGCTAATCTTTATTTATCGATTATAGGTATATAGAATATGTCGATTTCAAAACCATTGCCAGCCCAAAATGTTCAACTCGCAATCAGTTTGAAGAGTAACAAGGTCCACATTTCTATACATGAGAATTTCCACTTATGCAGTACTTGAGCAGAACTTAAACAGTTTTATGAGTACACATATATAGATACTGTACAGTGTAGGTTAAAAGGTATTATATTCTCTTTGTATGGTAGATATAAGAAAAGTAAAAAAATCAGAAACGCATAGATCTGTAAAGCTACGTCAGCACTTCCATCATCAAACTTCAGAAGCTTTTCTCAAGATTGATAATGAAAGTGTAAATGCTTTACAGATATTTGTTTTGATTTCTTAACTGTTTAGGTTACCTATGACCATAGGTCATGGTAACCTATTGTGATAGCCTTTTTGTCCGTTGTCGTGCGTTAACTTTTCCTTGTGAACACGATAACTTCACTAAATGTTAACTGAGTTTGATGAAACTTTGTATGCAGTTATATATCAATAAGATCTCGGACGAGTTCGAAAAATTGGAATTATTGGACAGTAGCTTACAGAGTTATTGCCCTTCGTAATATTATTATTATTGGACCTTGTGAACACGATAACTTGAGTAAATGTTAACCAAGTTTGATGAAACTTTGTATGCAGCCATATATCAATAAGATCCTGGACTCTAAATGGGAATTATTCGACAGTAACTTACAGAGTAATTGCCCTTTGTAATAATATTATTATTGGACCTTGTGAACATGATTACTTAAGTAATTATCAACCAAGTTTAATGAAACTTTGTATGCGGCCTTATATCAATTAGATCTCGGATAAGTTGGAAAATGGGAATTATTTGACAGTAACTTACAGAGTTATTGCCCTTTGTAATAATATTATTACACTTTTTTGTATTGGACCTTGTGTTCACGATAACTTAAGTAAATATCAATTAAGTTTGTTGAAACTCTGTATGTAGCCTTATATCAATAAGATCTCGGATGAGTTTGAAACTGGGAATTATTTGACAGTAACTTACAGAGTTATTGGCCTTTGTAATAATATTATTATTGGACCTTGTGAACACGATAACTTGAATAAATGTTGACGGAGTTCAATGAAACTTTGTCCGGTAATTATTTGAAGGTAACCTGCAGAGTTATTGCCCTTTGTCATTATATTATTATTTGTCCCTGTGATGTTAATTGACATTACACATGTAAATTCATGTGTACACCTTTTTTTCATTCATGACGCATTTTTGCTACTATCAAGGTGCTATTAAAATTTTGTGCCTTATTTAATAAATCATTGATTTACGCTTTTACTTGTTTCTTTTAACCAAGAACAGAAGACATACAGTTACCAAGTTTGGGTCAAAATTGGAGTCACACCCATTTATTTCACTTATCGTGTTCACAGGGTCCACCAATAATAGAATTACCAAGGGGAATTACTATGTAAGTCAAATTGGTCCGGTATTCAAACTCATCCAAGATCTCATTGATACAAAGCTGCATACAAAGTTTCATCAAAATCGGTTCATATTTACTGAAGTTATTGTGTTCACAAAGAAAAATTAATGGACGATGCAGCAAGGTCACGAATTGGCCATGGATGACAGTCCTAATTTGAATCGGATGTCAGGTGACAGTTAAGGCCCATGGGCCTCTTGTATATATATATATGTTTATATATGTGGGTCAACGAAGTTATATTAACGATAGCTTCACTGGATCCTTGTAAACATATGTTTGTAGGATATGAATTACTTAGAATGTTATATATGGGGCAATGTAGTAATTCTAACAGTGTAGACAATATGATGTTGTCGTCAAATTTTCGGAGCAATCGGCTCCTTTATCGAGACACAGAATATTTTGTAAAAGCTGGGGGGGTTTTTGTTTTCAAAATATTTTAGTTATACCCTATTATGTTTCTAATATTGCTTTTAGCTCACCTGCCTGAAAAGCAAGTGACCTTATGCAGTGGCGCAGCGTCCATCGTCCGGCGTCAATAATTTACTTTAAACAACTTCTTCTCAATAACCAAAAGGCCTAGTGTGATTATATTGGGCCTGTAGCATGCTAGGATGAAGGGCTACCAAGTGTGTTCAAATGAATGACATTGACCCACTTTCAAGGTCACAGGGGTCAAATGTGTTAAAATCTTCAAACAACTTCTTCTAAATAACCAAAAGGCCCAGGGAACTGATATTGGGCCTGTAGCATGCTAGGATGAAGGGCTACCAAGTTTGTTCAAATGAATGACTTTGACATACATTCAAGGTCACAAGGGTCAAATGTGTTAAAATCTTCAAACGACATCTTCTCAATAACCAAAAGGCACAGGGTACTGATATTGGGCCTGTTGCATACACGGATGAAGGGCTATCAAGTTTGTTCAAATGAATGACCTTGACCCACTTTCAAGGTCACGGGTCAAATGTGTTAAAATCTTCAAACGTCTTCTTCTGAATAACCAAGAGGCCTAGGATGATGATATTTGGCCAGTAACATGCTGGGATGAAGGACTACCAAGTTTGTTCAAATGAATGACTTTGACATATATTCAAGGTCACAGGGGTCAAATATGTTTTAATCTTTATATGACTTGTTCTGAATAACCAAAAGGTCCAGGGTACTGATATGTCCTTGTTCGACATTCAAGGTCATATGTTTAAATCTTTTAATAGGTTCTTATGAATCAAACACTGATATTCTGCCTGTAGCTGTATTTTAGTCCACTTTTAAGATGACAAGTGTGAGATTAATACCAGGTGAGCGATTCAGGCCCATTGGGCCTCTTGTTATGTAATGTTTATGTTTTTTGTTTTTTCTGTGTCTCGATAAAGGAGCCGATTGCTCTGAAAATTTGACATCATGTTGTCTACACTGTAAGAATTACTTTCTTGCCCCATATATATTATATGGATATACTAGTGGTTGTTCAAGTCATAATGGAGTCAGTATTAACTTCATGTTCTGAATGCAATGTACAGTATTTTGTTTCATCAGTGTCAATTTTTCAAAGGCAAGACAAAGTATAATGCCTTTACAAATTGTATTTTTGTGTTACTTATATATTACTGCAGCCTTGTTTGGACTTTACAGTAAAACTCGATATAACACCACTTGTTTCATTTGCCACCTTGCTTACAGGCAACATATTACAAGGTTCTTTTCTCTGTTTCCTTCAATACATTGCCACACCCCTTTATAGGGTAATGCCAAAATTTCAAATGGTGGCAGTATGCTGAGATATTGGCAGTGTTTTGAGGTTATTGGCAGTATGCTGAGGTTATTTGCAGTATTCTGAGGTTATTGGTAGTATGCTGAGGTTATTGGCAGTATGCTGAGGTTATTGGCAGTATGCTGAGGTTATTGGCAGTATGCTGAGGTTATTGGCGGTATGCTGAGGTTATTGGCAGTATGCTTAGGTTATTGGCAGTATAATGAGGTTATTGGCAGTATAATGAGGTTATTGGAAGTATGCTATGGTTATTGGCGGTATGCTATGGTTATTGGCGGTATGCTGAGGTTATTTGTAGTATGCTGAGGTTATTTGCTGTATGCTGAGGTTATTTGCAGTATGCTATGGTTATTGGAAGTATGCTATGGTTATTGGCGGTATGCTGAGGTTATTTGTAGTATGCTGAGGTTATTGGTTGTATGCTGAGGTTATTTGCAGTATAATGAGGTTATTGGCAGTATAATGAGGTTATTGGCAGTATAATGAGGTTATTGGCAGGTTAATGAGGTTATTGGCAGTATAATGAGGTTATACTTTATATCACTGTACTGTAACCACAGAACCAGACCTCCTCTATTGTACCCACAGTCTCCTTGCCCCTACAGAACCACTACAGTATATGTTATTAATGAATCACAATTTTCTGGGACTAATATGCTGACGATCTTTTCTCCCTGTAGCCCCTCGTTGTCCGAGCGTTTGTACATGACCCTACAGACTCCGGTAACAGTTCCCCCTCCGCTGACCATGCGCCCGAAAAAGGTGCTTATTCTGGGGTCTGGAGGCCTGTCTATAGGTCAGGCCGGAGAATTCGACTACTCAGGATCACAGGTAACTTCACTTTCATTTACTGTTTACAATGAAGCCTTCTTAATCCAAATTTAAGTCTTTCAAACTTTCTTCTGCAGGGGTTTATTTTCCTGAGTTGTCGGCCAAATTACTTTCCTGGGTTTTTGGCAAAAACAATTTTCACCGCCGATATCAGTTTGTGCACCCTTCTCACAAAGATAACGAAATTGTTTTGTTTTTACAACCATTATCCTCCCTCAACTGACTACAAAATGTGCAATTCAATTATAATGATATTGTTGTTCCTTCACTTGACAATTATCATTGCAAGGATTTTCTGCTTTTCCTTGTGAACTGAACAGAAACCATTTATATGGTATTTCAATCTATTTTTTCAGCACTTCTTGAAGGAGGAGCCTGATCTCCCATACTTACTCCTCCATTTTAGTCTGTTCTGATTAAGAAAATATATTCTTTTATACATGCTTTATCAGATACAATAGTCTTGCAATCTGACAAGTTTGTTTTCCAGTGTTTTACAAAAAAAGGAAAAAGAAGTTTTGTAGTTCTCCCTGGGTATTTGTCTGACAGTTATGTCACTTTTACAGCAACTGCCTCGGTCTACGTTTCGTTATCCAAATAAGTGCCCTCTTAAACCAATATTTCATTTGCCATGGGTGCTTACTACAGTGAATACGGTACTAGCCAACAACAATGAGGGAAAAAGTACTGTTTTGGTATCCAAATAAATCCCTCGTAAACCAATATTTCATGTGCCATTGGAGCTTACTACAGTGAATACGGTACTAGCCAGCAACAATTTGGGAAAAAGTACTGTTTTGGTATCCAAATAAATTCCCCTTAAACCAATATTTAACGTGCCATGGGTGCTTACTACAGTGAATACGGTACTAGTCAACAACAATTTGGGAAAAAGTACTGTTTTGGTATCCAAATAAATCCCTCTTAAACCAATATTTCATGTGCCATGGGTGCTTATTAGTAAGTTAGTTACTACAGTGAATATGGTACTTACTAACATCAGTTTGGCAAAAAGCATTATCACCTTAAATGTTCTTACTCCTATTTGTAAAATTATAGTATTATAGAAATAGTTCTGTACATACCTGCATATTGGTATTCGTCAATGTTAATCTCTGACTGCTGTTACCTGGAACATGATTCAGCTTTTTCAAAGTTTTTTTTTTTATTGAACAGACAACTGTGGTTATTTTTACTGAATTCAATACTCTACAATGTAAAAACCCATTGATCTGACGTAAGAAGTGCATTTAAAGGGTGCATGTGATACTCTATGATTGATTTTATCTGTGTGTCTCTGTCAAAGTCATCTTCATTGAAAGTATGTTTCTGCATAATTAGACGATCATACAACAGTTGTACCGTTGTATATGTTTTAACCAGTACAGCTAAACTGTAAACAGGCCTACCAGGAAACATATCCGATGTTTATATTGATTGTGGTTTCAACCATTCCATGTCATATACTGTGTGGAAGCCACACTTAGTTATTTAAAGGGCTGTACTATTGCACATTGACTAGTAGATAACAGGGACACTGAAAAATTCTGCTAGACCAACCTGTATTGTCATAGTAAAAGTTGGGTCGAACAGTATTGTCATTGTCCATATTGAAAACCTTCACCAGTCCTGACATGTAATTTTCTAGCTAACAGTATACATGCACACCTGATACTAAAACATCACATATATATATATATAGGTCCTGTAAAAACTTTTGTTTATTAGGGCCCCGTATCGGAGATACGGGTGCCCTATAGTAATCACACTGTCTGTCTGTCTGTCTGTCCGTCCGTCCGTCCACAACTTTTGTTCCTGGCTGATAACTTTGGTATTTATTGACCGATTTATACCATATTTTCACTGATGAACATAGTTATGACATGATGAAGCAAAGTTGATCAGAATTAAACAAGGAGTCAACTGACCAAAGGTCAGGGTCATTGGGTCAGTGGTCAAGGTCCCTGGGTCAAAGGTCAAATTTTGCAGCTTTTCACTAATGAGCATTTTATGACATAATGAAGAAAAGTTGGTCGGAATTAAACAAAGACACACTGAGGTTAAAAAGAATCAAGGTCAAGGTTAAGGTCATTGGGCTCAAAGGTCAAGGTCAAATTTTGCATCTTTTCACTGATGAACATTTTGTTATGACATTTTGAAGCAAAATTGGTTAGAATTTAACAAGGAGTCAACTGACTTAAGGTCAAGGTCACTGGGTCAATGTCAAGGTCAAATATTGTATCTTTTTCCTGATGAACATTTTCTTAATGTTTTTATGAAGCAAAGTTGATCAGAACTTAACACAGAGTCAACTGACCAAAGGTCCAGGTTACAGTGTCTGAAGGTTCAAGGTCAAGGTCAAGTTTTGTAATTTTTACTGATGAACATTTTGTTACTATGATATTATGAAGCAAAGTTGATCGGATTAAAGAATAAGTCAACTGACCAAAGATCAGGGTTACTGGGTTAAAGGTCAATGTCATTTGGGTCCAAAGGTCAAAGACAAAGTGGATCTCTGACTTTGACCCTGGCTCTTGATGGGGGAGAAATTTAAGGTGAAATAAAACAAATCAAAGCTAACAAATGGATATTGCATTGGTATTTACATTTCTGTAAGCCCTGCAAATATGGAGGTGGAAGGAAACAAGACTCGCATCATAGTACATGTAAGATGTATATTTTGCTTCCTTGCAATTATTTTTGAAGTCCAAATGTCAAACGTCAATCTCAGCTATATGGGCAGATTGCTTCTTGATGATTATGGGGGATATATTGCCACAAGATGGGGCCCTAACTGACCTGCCAGTGTTCTAGTTGTCTTTTGTTGTGCATCCATTCCTAAACAGTTAGCATTTTCAACTTCTTGAAAACTACAAAATCAATTAAAGATAATTTTGCAGGAGCCATCAATAATTAAAAACAAAACAGGGGTCTTTTGGGTGGGGACAAATGGGTAAAAATGGTAAAAATTGGAACAGTCTCTTCATACCATTATATCCCTAAGATAAATTTCATTCGGGGGTGGGGGTTACAGTACTGCTGCTTATACAAAGCCCCTAAGGCAAAGTGAACTTATGTTGTTTGATGTTGCATCAGTCCAGTGTCAACAGGTATTTTGCTTTAAACAACTTCTTCTAAATAACCAAGAATCCTAGAGTGATGATATTTAGGGAGTTGCATGCCGTGATGAAAGGCTATAAAGTTTATGTGAATGAATGACACCTTGACTCACTTTCAAGGCCACAGGTGTCAAATGTGTTAAACTTTTAAACAATTGCCTCTGAACAACAAAAGGCCAGGGGTGATGATATATAAGGATTTACCTTCATTTTGATGGCATATACATGTACGTTAGCATGAACGTATTCATCATGGAGCACCTTATGTCAACAGTACAAACTGAGAATGACTTTGCTGTTGTTGTGTCAATGTATTAGAGCGATGGTCAGTTAGTGTAGTAGGTACAGAAAAGCACAAATAGTTTAACGAGGAGGGAAATGGGTTTACAGAAAAGAAAAAAAAAAAAAAAAAAAAAAAAAAAAAAAAAAAAAAAAAAAAAAAAAAAAAAAAAAAAAAAAAAAAAAAAAAAAAAAAAAAAAAAAAAAAAAAAAAAAAAAAAAAAAAAAAAAAAAAAAAAAAAAAAAAAAAAAAAAAAAAAAAAAAAAAAAAAAAAAAAAAAAAAAAAAAAAAAAAAAAAAAAAAAAAAAAAAAAAAAAAAAAAAAAAAAAAAAAAAAAAAAAAAAAAAAAAAAAAAAAAAAAAAAAAAAAAAAAAAAAAAAAAAAAAAAAAAAAAAAAAAAAAAAAAAAAAAAAAAAAAAAAAAAAAAAAAAAAAAAAAAAAAAAAAAAAAAAAAAAAAAAAAAAAAAAAAAAAAAAAAAAAAAAAAAAAAAAAAAAAAAAAAAAAAAAAAAAAAAAAAAAAAAAAAAAAAAAAAAAAAAAAAAAAAAAAAAAAAAAAAAAAAAAAAAAAAAAAAAAAAAAAAAAAAAAAAAAAAAAAAAAAAAAAAAAAAGGTAAATATCACGGAAACAACTAATCAATCTAGGTTAACAATTCTGTGTGCAATTATTTCACTACAGATTAAGATTAGAGCAAAAAGGATAGAGTAAGGGCAGGGACATAATATAAAGCAAGAGCGGGGACATAGAATAGAACAAGAGCAGGGACATATTATAGAGCAAGAGCAGGGACATAAAATAGAGCAAGAGCAGGGACATATTATACAGCAAGAGCAGGGACATATTATAGAGCAAGGGCAGGGACATAAGATATAGTAAAAGTAGGGACATAAGATAGAGTAAGGGCAGGGACATATTATAGAGCTAGAGCAGGGACATAAAATAGAGCAAGAGCAGGGACATATTATAGAGCAAGAGCAGGGACATAAGATAGAGCAAGGGCAGGGACATAAGATAGAGCAAGAGCAGGGACATATTATAGAGCAAGGGCAGGGACATAAGATAGAGCAAGGGCAGGGACATAAGATAGAGTAAGGGCAGGGACATAAGAAAGAGCAGGCACATAAGATAGAGCAAGGACAGGCACATATTATAGAGCAAGGGCAGGCACATAAGATAGAGCAAGGACAGGCACATATTATAGAGCAAGAGCAGGGACATAAGATAGAGCAAGGACAGGGACATTAGATAGAGGAAGGGCAGGGACATAAGATAGAGCAAGGGCAGGGACATATTATAGAGCAAGGGCAGGCACATAAGATAGAGCAGGCACATAAGATAGAGCAAGGACAGGCACATATTATAGAGCAAGGACAGGCACATAGGATAGAGCAAGGGCAGGCACATAAGATAGAGCAAGGGCAGGCACATAAGATAGAGCAGGCACATAAGATAGAGCAAGGACAGGCACATATTATAGAGTAAGGACAGGGACATAAGATAGAGCAAGGGCAGGGACATTAGATAGAGGAAGGGCAGGCACATAAGATAGAGCAAGAGCAGGCACATAAGATAGAGCAAGAGCAGGGACATAAGATAGAGGAACGGCAGGCACATAAGATGGAGCAAGGGCAGGGATATAAGATAGAGCAAGGGCAGGGACATAAGATAGAGGAAGGGCAGGGACATAAGATAGAGGAAGGGCAGGGACATAAGATAGAGTAAGGGCAGGGACATAAGATAGAGCAAGGGCAGGAAAAACATATATTCCAAGAATAGACCAATATTGGGCAAGAAAAGATCTCTATTTCTGTCATCAACATGCAACTTCTAGGCTTCCTGATTTTCAGGAAAATATGCTACCTGACAAACAGTCTTTGAAATAGTATGTTTATGATAAAAGTAACCATGGTGACCTTTGTAACCTTGGTTACTTAGATGTCTGTAAATTATACCCACACTTGGTGTACTGTAGCAGTGCGCTATTCTTTATTGTACCTAAGTTGTAAGTCTAAGACCAAAGGTCACTTGACTCATATGATGTATACAAATTGAAACCTTTGTGTCACTATTGATTAAATTTTGTTTTTGAGGCATTAAAAGCTCTTCGGGAGGAGCGAATCACAACTGTGCTAATCAACCCAAATATCGCCACAGTTCAGACATCTAAAGGAATGGCTGACAAGACCTACTTCCTGCCCATCACTCCCCACTACGTCACACAGGTACAGTAAACTGCTGACAAGATACCTTATTTTGACCTAATGAAGGTGCATGTCCTAATAGGGGTAAAAAACAAGCAGGGTACTGGGTTATACCAGTCATCTAGAATATTTCAGGGGTACTTGGAAATAATTCATAAAAAGTAGCATTACACTGAAAATTCACATAATGATTAATTCCTGAATGCATTAAAGATCTATGCATACCTCGTTAACTGTTAGTTTATAATCTGTAGCAGAAAAGTCCAGATAATGCTACTTAATAAGAGCCCCCTCAAGCGGGCATCCAAATCCGTTCCTCAAGTTAGATGCTTGGCAAAATTACTGTCAAATCAAAGAGGCTTCATCAAATATTTACCATACAACTTAATTCATATTGGAAGCAAATTTGTGGTGAATTCTTGTTAACAAACTAAAATGAACTAACTTGATGGAGAATAAAGTGATCTTACCAAGTGTATTACTATAACAGGTGATCAGGAATGAACGACCAGATGGCGTTCTCCTGACTTTTGGAGGTCAAACTGGACTTAACTGTGGTGTCCAACTGAATAAACTAGGGACACTAGAGAAGTTTGGGGTCAAGGTTCTAGGAACTCAGGTCGAGTCAATCCTGTGGACAGAGGATCGCAAAGTGTTTGCAGACAAAATGGCTGAGATCAATGAACATGTAGCTCCAAGCGAGGCTGCCTACACCACAGAACAGGTGAGTCGTACAGGACCTGTTAACTAGGTAAAACTTAGTCTACAACACAGAGCAGGTGATTTGTAAAGGACCTGTTACCTAGGTATAACTTAGTCTACAGCACAAAGCAGGTGAGTCGTACAAGACCTGTTAACTAGGTATAACTTAGTCTACAACACAGAGCAGGTGATTTGTGCAAGACCTGTTAACTAGGTATAACTTAGTCTCCAACACAGAGCAGGTGATTTAGACAAGACCTGTTATTTACGTCTAACTTAGTCTACAACAAAGAGCAGGTGATTTGTACAAGCCCTGTTACCTAGGTAAAACTTAGTCTACAACACAGAGCAGGTGATTTGTACAAGACCTGTTATTTAGGTATAACTTAGTCTACAACACAGAGCAGGTGATTTGTACAAGACCTGTTAACTAGGTATAACTTAGTCTACAACACAGAGCAGGTGAGTTGTACATGACCTGTTAACTAGGTATAACTTAGCCTACAACACAGAGCAGGTGATTTGTACAAGACCTGTTAACTAGGTATAACTTAATTTACAACACAGAGCAGGTAAGTTGTACATGACCTGTAAACTAGGTATAACTTAATCTACAACACAGAACAGGTGAGTTTTAAAGGACCTGTTAACTAGGTATAACTTAGTCTACAGCACAGAGCAGGTGAGTTGAACAGGAGCTGTTAACTAGGTATAACTTAGTCTACAGCACAGAGCAGGTGAGTTGTACATGACCTGTTAACTAGGTATAACTTAGTCTACAACACAGAGCAGGTGAGTCATATAGACCTGTTAATTAGGTAAAACTTAGTCTACAACACAGACAGGTGAGTTGAACAGGACCTGTTAACTAGGTATAACTTAGTCTACAACACAGAGCAGGTGAGTTGAACAGGACCTGTTAACTAGGTATAATTTGTTATCCAATCCCTGTCTATGTTTACAATGAAATGGGGTCTAAACCTATTACTCTGAACAGTCACTGCTGTAGTGAAGAATTTGTTTCCTATTCATGATCAGATGTAGACCTGGAATAAATATCTTATTTGGAATTAATAAAAAACTGATTGGAAAATATATGAAAGTAACCGACACTAGGGACAGGTATAGGATTTGTTTATCATTTTTACTTCATTAATAGAAAAAACGAAAATTTACTGTAAAAACGGAAGCTTTTGTTGTGACCTTGAAATGATAGCAATGTGGAGATTTTTTTACATTTTGCAATGGTTCTTATATATATTTATCTATATTAATTCAAACATGGATATTTTCGCTCAAATTTACTTAACACACGAAACGTAACCATTTCCACATCAATTACAGTACTTTACTGTAAAACTGGAAATAGCTGGTATCTAGATCTGGTATGGAATATGATATCTGTATTCTAGGTTGTACAAGCTGCTGAGCGTCTGGGGTATCCGGTGCTGATCCGGGCAGCCTTCGCGCTGGGCGGACTAGGTTCTGGTTTTGCTGACAATAGAGAAGAGCTCCTGACATTGGCTAACTCTGCCTTCGCTCACACCAGTCAGATCCTGATCGATAAATCACTCAAAGGCTGGAAGGAAGTGGAATACGAGGTGGTCCGGGATGCCTTTGACAACTGTATCACTGTAAGTCCTATTGTGTACCTACTATTTACCAAGGGAGACAATTTGCATCAGTCAGTTTCTGGTCAGTCAGTCATCTTCAGTTATTCTTAAAAATTATGGCACCAATTTTGATGATGAAGTTTTCTTTCTCTCGTGCTCATCATTGAACAGTTGAATTTCAATTAATCACTTTAGTTTTAAAAAAGACATCAACACATGTACCATGTTAAATTATTAGCCTTTTGTGACTCGAGAAGATATCAAACATGTTGGTGATGTATATATAGAAGTAAATGCCGCACCATTGACCTCCTATTCTTTAAACTTTACTGCACCTTTATCTGTTTTCAATTTGCTTCGTTAGACGGTGGCAGTGGCTAGGAATTTCACGTTAACTATGACTGCTATTTTGTTGGATTTGTTTTGCAGGTGTGTAATATGGAGAATGTTGATCCACTCGGGATCCATACTGGGGAGTCAATAGTGGTGGCTCCTAGTCAGACTCTCACCAACACCGAGTACAACATGCTTCGCTCCACTGCTATCAAGGTCATACGCCACCTCCAGGTCGTAGGGGAATGTAACATACAATACGCCCTCAACCCGGAGTCAAACCAGGTAAACAATCTTACAATACGCCCTCAACCCGGAGTCAAACCAGGTAATTAATCATTGATACAATACGCCCTCAACCCAGAGTCAAACCAGGTAATTAATCATTGATACAATACACCCTCAACCCAGAGTCAAACCAGGTAAACAATCTTACAATACGCCCACAAACCAGAGTCAAACCAGGTAAACAATCATACAACACGCCAACAACCCAGAGTCTAACCAGGTAAACAGTAATACAATATGCCCTCAACCCAGAATCTAACCTGGTAAACAGTTATACATCACGCCCTCAGCCCAGAGTCTAACCAGGTAAACAGTAATACAATATGCCCTCAACTCAGAATCTAACCTGGTAAACAGTTATACATCACGCCCTCAGCCCAGAGTCTAACCAGGTAAACAGTAATACAATATGCCCTCAACCCAGCCCATTCTAATTCATATACGCCCACAAACCAGAGTCAACCCAGGTAAACAATCTTACAATACCCCCACAACCCAGAGTCAAACCAGGTAACCAATCTTACAATACGCCCTCAACCCAGAGTCAAACCAGGTAAACATTGATACAATACGCCCTCAACCCAGAGTCAAACCAGGTAAACAATCTTACAATACGCCCACAACCCAGAGTCAAACCAGGTAAACAATATTACAATACGCCCACAACCCAGAGTCAAACCAGGTAAACATTGATACAATACGCCCTCAACCCGGAGTCAAACCAGGTAAACATTGATACAATACGCCCTCAACCTGGAGTCAAACCAGGTAAACAATCTTACAATACGCGCACAACCCGGAATCAAACCAGGTAAACAATCTTACAATACGCCAACAACCCGGAGTCAAACCAGGTAAACATTGCTACAATACGCCCTCAACCTGGAGTCAAACCAGGTAAACAATCTTACAATACGCCCACAACCCGGAGTCAAACCAGGTAAACATTGATACAATACACCAACAACCTGGAGTCAAACCAGGTAAACAATCATACAATATGCCAACAACCCAGAGTCAAACCAGGTAAACAATCTTACAATACGCCAACAACCCGGAGTCAAACCAGGTAAACATTGATACAATACACCCTCAACCTGGAGTTAAACCAGGTAAACAATCATACAACACGCCAACAACCCAGAGTCTAACCAGGTAAACATTCATATCATATACCCTCAACTCGGAGTCAAACCAGGTAATCAATCATACAATATGCCCTCAACCCAGAGTCAAAGCGGGTAAACAATCATACAATACGCTCACAACCCCGAGTCTAACCAGGTAAACATTCATATCATATACCCTCAACCCAGAGTCAAATTGGGTAAACATTGATACAATACGCCCTCAACCCGGAGTCAAAGCAGGTAAACAATCATACAATACGCCCACAACCCCGAGTCTAACCAGGTAAACATTCATATGATATACCCTCAACCCAAAGTCAAATTGGGTAAACATTGATACAATACTCCCTCAACCCAGAGTCAAACCAGGCAAACATTGATACAATATGCCCTCAACCTGGAGTCTAACCTGGTAAACAGTAATACAATGCACCCTCAACCCAGAGTCTAACCAGGTAAACAGTAATACAATGCACCCTCAACCCGGAGTCTAACCTGGTAAACAGTAATACAATGCACCCTCAGCCCGGAGTCTAACCAGGTAAGCAGTAATACAATGCACCCTCAACCCGGAGTCAAACCTGGTAAACAGTAATACAATGCACCCTCAACCCGGAGTCTAACCAGGTAAACAGTAATATAATATGCCCTCAACCTGGAGTCTAACCTGGTTAACAGTTATACAACACGCCCTCAGCCCGGAGTCTAACCAGGTAAACAGTAATACAATATGCCCTCAACCCAGAATCTAACCTGGTAAACAGTTATACATCACGCCCTCAGCCCAGAGTCTAACCAGGTAAACAGTAATACAATATGCCCTCAACCCAGAATCTAACCTGGTTAACAGTTATACAACACGCCCTCAGCCCGGAGTCTAACCAAGTAAACAATAATACAATACGCCCTCAACCCAGAGTCTAACCAGGTAAACAGTAATACAATTCGTCCTCAACCCAGAGTCTAACCTGGTAAACAGTAATACAATATGCCCTCAACCCGGAGTGTAACCAGGTAAACATTCATATAATATAATGAATTCAAAGCGAAAATACGATTGCTTTAAATACCAACTGTAGATGTGATTAATAACGATTCCTGACTTTTCCTTCACAGTACTACATCATCGAGGTGAACGCCCGTCTGTCGAGGAGCTCGGCCCTTGCCAGTAAAGCCACAGGCTATCCACTAGCCTACATTGCTGCCAAGCTTGCCTTGGGTATGTCCCTCTTGGATCTTCCAAACACAGTGACGAGCTCAAAGGACCATTTCACAACAGCCTGCTTTGAACCTAGCCTGGATTATTGTGTAGTGAAAATTCCTCGTTGGGACCTCAAGAAATTCTCCCGAGTATCAACAAAGGTAAGATCAGAATAATATCATACAAAAATGTATGTGCAAAGCACTGATAGAGTTTTGAACTTTTGAATGATATACTGTGCGTGTTAATCGCTGAAATTAGTTTTGGAACAGATCTGACCGATAATGTTTTAATGGTTAAAGCAGTGCTTTGGATATAAAAAAATTGTATCTGAAACTTCCAGATTGTAGTCATATTGGATTTTTTGTGAAATTGTAATGTTAAAGATTAATATTACTTTAATACTATTGTTAACCCTTACCACTCGGGAAACGTCTAAATGCGTTCTGTGCTGCCGATATTCTCCTACCGGAAACGTGTATGTGCGTTTTCAGACCTAGGTAACAATAACCATTATTCGGTTTGAAAGCGAGGCTCGGGAAGTGACGTATGCACACACAAATAGATTCTAGAGGGTTCCATGAGTATTCTGGTATCTGATTGGTTAGTTTATCGGTCATGAGGACTTTCCCAGGACAATCTAAATATACCTGAAGTTGAGTGACCTGTGCACTCGGAAAAACATGGCTGACGCTCAAAATGTTCTTGACGCCATTTTCGCGGATGATGATTCCAAAGCTGATTTCGACGGCTTCGATGAAGACGATGTTTTGGAAGATGTCGGAAATATTCTGCCAACGTTCGACATACCAGATCTCGACATTGATGAGGAGTTTGCGGCCGATATTCGCGGTGGACGGTCACGGGAAGCGAGTGACCCCCTCATCACTCCATTCACCGGTACACCCGGACTAAAGGTAAACATTGCTGACGCTGATATGACGCCGTACACATTCTTTAAGTTGTTCATGTGTGACACTGTATTTGACGAACTTTCCAACGAAACCAATCGGTACTATCAATAAACAGTGCAGCCAGACACATTATCTGTTCATTCTCGTTTGAGGGGGTGGTACGTTACAACACCTGAGGAAATCAAACAGTGGCTAGGGCTTATCATAATCACTGGCCTGGTAGACAAGCCGTACTTAGAGAAGTACTGGTCCGTGGAAACCGCGATTCAAACCCCCCTATTCACCAATATCATGCCCAGGGATAGGTTTTTTAACATTTTGACATGCTTTCATATAAATAACAATGACAATCTGATTCCAAGAGGAAATGATGTGTATGACCCAATTTTCAAAGTGCGGCCGCTGTATGAAGTCTCAAAAACAAAGTTCTTGACCACATACACGCCTTCAGAAAACCTGGCCCTTGATGAGGCAATGGTGCCCTGGAAAGGCAGGCTTGCCTTCAAACAATATATCCCAAATAAGCCTGACAGATTTGGAATAAAATTGTATGTTTTGTGCGAGTCGTCGTCGGGCTACATTTGTGGATACGATATTTACTCGGGTAAAGACTTTGACCCCAACCCGGATGCTGCACAACGCGGACACTCTAACAATGTTGTGATGGGTTTGATGAGGGGCTGCGATGTGTTGAATAAAGGCTACACGCTTTACACTGATAACTTTTATACAAGCCCGACATTGTTCTCAGAGTTGGAAGCGGAAGGGACCAGTGCCGCGGGGACAGTGCGGACAAATCGTAAAGAAATGCCCGTTGCCATAAAACAGGCCAACAATCTGAAGAAAGGAGAGGCCATTTACAGACAGAGGGATAGTCTGTTGGCAATGAAATGGAAAGAGAAAAAGGGACATGGTGATGCTTTCTACAAAGCACACACCAACTTTTACTCTGACAAACAGACTCGACCGCACAACACAGGAGCCCATCACTATCCCCACAGTCATTATGGACTACAACAAACATATGGGAGGTGTGGATCTGTCAGATCAGTTGTCCAAGTATTACACAATTTCAAGGAAAAGTATCAAATGGTGGAAAAAACTGGCTATGCATATAATCAACATGATGATCACCAACGCCTACATACTCTACACCAAAGTGAAAGTAGGAAAGAAACTATCTCAGTATGACTTCCGAAAAGACCTCGCGATGACACTCATCGGTCAGTTTGTGTCCCGATTGAGTCGGAAAGGAAGAAGGCCCAGTGGAGTCGTCCAAAACCGTCTGGCGGAAAGACATTTCCCTGAAATGATACCAGCACAGGAAAATTCCAAGAGGAAAAATCCTTGCAGGAAGTGTTGTGTATAACACTTACCCGGGCAAACGCTTTACGCCAGGTGTGTCAATGAAACGGAAGGAAACGTGTTACTGGTGTCCAGACTGTCAGAAGGCACTGTGTATTGGAGACTGTTTCCGTCGTTATCACACTCCTACAAACTTCATAACGCCACGAGCAGTGAAAGTGATTAGGGATGTATGCACACCTGTGTTGTGTACACCTGTGCTGTGTACTTACCTGCTAACGAGATATGGAAGTTTGAACTAAGTTGCCATTTAGTTGTGTTTCTGACTTTCAGCCGTTATCATACTCTTACAAACTACAAACAATGTATTGTATTTCTTCAAACTTTAATCCACAATGTATATAAACCCTATATCACTCACAAATATGAAGTTATGAAGAGACTAGCAAAACACAAGAAATACCTATTTTGGAGTTTTTACCTGTACAGGTAAATAATCAACGGTAGTACCTACTTCAAATTATTGAAAATAGGTAGCTGACATAACATATAGGTTTTGTATGGGTTTGAGGTACACAAATTCCAATTAACTTCGTTTCAAATTTTAATTAATTAAAGTTAAATTTAATCAAATTAATACAGTGGGAGGGTAATGTACATTGAAAAGTAATGGAGCGTGCAGAGGGTTAATTAATCATCTATGATATAAGATGTTGATTAAGAAAATTATCATAATGTTTTTCTCAAGAATCTACTGATCCTTTATGAGAAGGATTTTTAGGTCACCTGAGCTTTAGCTCCGTCGTCCATCGTCCATCGTCCGTTAACATTTTACAATTTCAACTTAAGCTGAAATTCTGGCAAAGTGATTTCATTAATATTTCATGGGAAGGTTACTGACATCTCCCTGACCAAGTGTTGTTATTTTTTGGGTCGATCAGGAATCCAATATGGCCGCCACGGCCGTCATTTTGAAAAACTATTTCAAACTTGAAGTCAAGTTCTGCTGGGCCGATTGAACTAAACGTTGGTAGGAATGATCGACTCATGGTCCTGACAAAGTGTTGTTATTTTTTGGGTTGATCAGAAATCCAATATGGCCGCCACGGCCGCCATTTTGAAAAACTATTTCAAACTTAAAGTCGAGTTCTGCTAGGCCGATTGAACTGAAACTTTGTAGGAATGATCGACTCATGATCCTGACAAAGTGTTGTTATTTTTCGGGTCGATCAGAAATCCAATATGGCCGCCATTTTGAAAAACTATTTCAAACTTAAAGTCAAGTTCTGCTAGGCCGATTGAACTGAAACTTTGTAGGAATGATCGACTCATGGTCCTGACAAAGTGTTGTTATTTTTCGGGTCAATCAGAAATCCAATATGGCTGCCACGGCCGCCATTTCGAAAAACTATTTCAAACTTAAAGTCAAGTTCTGCTAGGCCGATCTAACTGAAAATCGGTCTAGGAATGATCAGCTCATGGTCCTGAACAAGTTAACGTTATACTTAACAATTTTTTACTCAAATTGGTACATATTTCAACAACAAAAATAAATACTGTAGGACTCAGGTGACCGTTAAGGCCCATGGGCCTTTTGTTATTCGACCTACTGAGTCACTCAGTAGAGCCACTGCAATCATTATTCATGTGTCACATTTCTGACATCTCCTCAGAAAGTGTCGGTCATATTTTGATGAAATTTGTGGTTATCATCAGTTTGAGGTGGGGATCAGAATCTATACTGACACCCCAGGGGGCTAAGGGCAGGGCCATAAACGGGCACAGAGTGCAAAACATTTAAAAGACTTCTTCTGTGAAACTAACAGGTGGATTTTCACCAACTTTTGACAAAATGATGCGTAGATGATGGGGATCAGAATTTATTCTCAAAATAGAGGTTCACTTAGTGTGAAACCTTAAACAATCAATAACAGTCACATATTGGACTTCTCAGAAACTGTCAATCATATTTTGATGAAACTTGGTGGGGATCAAAATCTATACTTGAAATGAGATTGGGTTTCATTGGTCCTCTTTTTAGGTCACCTGAGCTTTGCTCAAGTGACCTATTCCAATCGCTTTTCGTCCGTCGTCGTCCGTCGTGCGTCGTGCGTCGTGCGTAAACTTTTACATTTTCAACTTCTTCTCAAGAACCAGTGGATGGATTTTTTTCAAACTTGGTCAGAATCATCCTTGGTAGATGAGGCTTCAAAATTGTAAAATTGGGATTCCTACCCCCACCCCTGGGGCCAGGGCGGGGCCCCAAAGGGAAAATTATCCAATATTTCAAAAATCTTCTTCTCCAGACTCA